TACCATGTTAACCATTTTTGAGTGTGTGACTCTGTGGCATCACATGCGTTCACACCATTGTACCCCCATCACCACTGTGTACTGGTCTCTATGTGGATGTGTATTTTTGTTTCTTGCAGGTAAATACCGAGGAATGAACAGCTGGGTCACTCCTTGTTATTTACCTGCAAGAAACATGCCTGGCTAATTTTTTTTTGTATTTTTAGCAGAGACAGGGTTTCACCGTGTTAGCCAGGCTGGTCTCGAACTCCTGACTTTGTGATCTGCCTGTTTTGGCCTCCCAAAGTGCTGGAAGCCACCGTGCCCAGCCTCAGACCTCTTAAATAGAAGTCATCTCCAGCTAGCATACGACTCGTCTATTGTCCTTTTTTTTTCCACTTACGTTGAACATTGTAGCCAGAAGGAATAAGAACTGATTTTGATTTTGAGGCTGGGACTAAAAGTGTGACTTTTCTGATATTTAAAGACATCTGGATTGAAAGAAAATAGCAATCATAAGGACCCTTAGCGAATAAACTTGAACTGCTGCCTCCACCAGCAGCTGCAGTGGGTGCCCTGCCTCATTTTCTCTTTCAGCCTTCCCATGGCCCACCATGTAGGCAGTGTTCCCACATCCTCCCCAGTTTACAGAGAGCTGCCAAGGCTTGCATGGCCAGAGCATGGCCAGCTGGAGCTCTAGCCTGGGCTGAGCCACTGGAAAACTCAGTTAAAAAGCCGTTCCTTCCTCCTCTTTTCCTGCCTGCCTGGCTGAGCTACCAACAGCAGAGAAGATTTAAGATCTGGCAAAAGTTAAAAGATCTAAAAATGTCTTCCACCTCACCATCTGCCATGAGGAAGTGCTTGTCAGCTGCTCGGGAAGGGGCAGGGCTGGGGCCTGGCAGGAAGCAGAACACCCCGGCCAGGCCTCGTACTGCCCTCCACTGGGGAGCTGCTGGTTTAAAACCTCCTAATAAAACACAGACCACCCAAGATACAACACAAAGTTGATCATCATGTTAAGAATTGGGAAAATCACAACTTGAAGAAGACAAGCACCAGACTTCATATCAAGACGAGATTTATATGACAAGGATGCCAAAGCAGCCATGATGAAAACACTTCAAAAAGCCACAAATAAACAAATAAAAAATAGCCTCAGCAAAGAAACAAGCGTTACATAAAAGAAGGAAGTGGAAATTATACAACTAAAACAATACAGTCATAATAAAAAATCTCTGGGAATGGGCTAGGTGACAGCGTGGACACGACAGAGACAGAATTCATCTGCCTGAACAGAGAGGAATGAACCGAGGACCACCAAGGCCTCAGAGACCCACAGGATCATAACAAAAGAGCAGATAAATTTCTGCAATCCCAGGAGAAAAGAGCAAGTAGACTGAAAAATGATGTGAGGAAATAATGGCTGAGAACTTCATGTTAGGCAAGAGACATTAACCTACAGAAAAGATAAGCCCAGTGAATCCACACAGAACAAACCCAAAGGAGTCTGCTCCAGGACACACAGTAATAGAATTTCTGAAAACTAAAGACAGGAAAAACGCTGAAAGCTGCCAGAGAGAAACCCCTCACACTCCTTAGAGAGAAGCACAAGTCTAAATGGCAGTGAGTTTCCTACGCGGAACATGGAAGCCAGAAGGGACACGTGCTTCTCAGGCACTGGAAGAGGAGAGCCACCACATGGAAATCCAAATCCTGTGAGGTGCCCTAGGCATGAAGTGGGGACAAGGCATTTCCAGATGAAGAAAAACAGAATTTGTGGCCAGGAGGTTAACTATAAAAGAATGTCCAAAGAAAGTTCTCTACACAGAGAGGAAATGATTACAGAAGATAGCTTGAAACCGCAGAAGGAAAAGAAGAACATCAGAAAGGGTAAAAAGAGGCGTGAGTAGAATAGATTATCCTTTTCCTCCTGAGTTAAAAACATTCTATTTGATGTCTGAAGTAAAAATTATAACACCATCTGATGTGGTATTCAATAAAAGTAGAGAAAAGACAACAATTATACGGTCATATGTCACTTCACAATGGGAATACATTCTGAGAAACACATTGGGAGACGATCTCATCATTTTGCAAACATCCCAGTGTGCGCTTACACAAACCAGACACACACCTAGGCCATGTGGCACAGCCTCTTGCTCCTGGGCTATAAACCTGCACAGCACATGACTGTACTGAATACTGTGGGCCACTGTTACACAATGAGAAGTACTTGTATATCTAAACACAGAATAGATACTAAAAATACAGCAAAAAAGATAAAAATAGCACACCCCTAGTAGAGTGAGTCAGGGAGTGAGGGGTGAGTGCATGTGAAGGCCTCGGACACTACTGTGCACCACTGGGGACGTCACAGACACTGCACACTCAGACTACACGAAATTGACAGTGTCTCACTCTGCTGCTGAGGCTGGAGAACAGCGGCATGATCACAGCTCACTGCAGCCTTGATCTCCCAGGCTCAAGCGATCCTACCGCCTCAGCCTCCTGGGTAGCTAGGACTACAAGGGTACACCACCACACCTGGCTAAGTTTCTTTTTTTTCTTTTTGGTGGAGACAAGTTCTTGCTATGTTGCCCAGGCTGGTCTTGAACTCCTGAGCTCAGGCAATCCTTTGCCTTGGCCTCCCAAAGGGCTGGGATTACAGGTGTGAGCTACCATACCTGGCCCACTATACTACGTTTAATAAAAATACTTTTCCTTCTTCAATATTAACCTTACCTTACTGTAACATTTTTACTTTATAAACTTTAAGGTTTTTAAAAACTTTTTGACACTCTTGTAATGATACTTAAAACATAAACACTGCACAGCTGTACAAAAGTATTTTATTTATTTATATATATTTTTTTACCTTTTTTATTGCATTTTAGGTTTTGGGGTACATGTGAAGAACATGCAAGATAGTTGCATAGGTACACATGTGGCAGTGTGATTTGCTGCCTTCCTCCCCTTCACCTATATCTGGCATTTCTCCCCATGCTATCTCTCCCCAACTCCCCACCCCCCGCTGTCCCTCCCCTATTCCTCCCAACTGACCCCAGTGTGTAGTGCTCTCCTCCCCGTATCCATGTGTTCTCATTGTTCAACACCCCCCTATGAGTGAGAACATGCGGTATTTCATTTTCTGTTCTTGTGTCAGTTTGCTGAGAATGATGTTCTCCAGGTTCATCCATGTCCCTACAAAGGACACAAACTCATCGTTTTTGATTGCTGCATAATATTCCATGGTGTATATGTGCCACATTTTCCCTGTCCAGTCTATCATCGATGGGCATTTGGATTGATTCCAGGTCTTTGATATTGTAAACAGTGCTGCAATGAACAGTCGTGTGCATGTGTCCTCATAGTAAAACGATTTATAGTCCTTTGGATATATACCCAGTAATGCATGCTTCACGAGGTTCTTGTGTTGTGTTTTTTAGCTCCATTAATTCACTCATATTCCTCTCTAAGTTGTCCATTCTTGTTATCATTTCCTCAAATCTTTTTTTCAAGGTTCTCAGTTTCTTTGCATTGAGTTAGAACATGTTCTTTTAGCTCACAGAAGTTTCTCATTACCCACCTTCTGAAGTCTGATTCTGTCATTTCATCATACTCATTCTCCAACCAGCTTTGTTCCCTTGCTGGTGAGGGGTTGTGATCCCTTGTAGGAGGAGAGGTGTTCTGGTTTCAGGTGTTTTCCTCCTTTTTGCGCTGGTTTCTTCCCATCTTTGTGGATTTATCCACCTGTCGTCTGTGTAGTTGCTGATTTTCAGAGTGGGTCTGAGTGGACGTCCAGATTGTAGATGATGAAGTTATTTTTGTTTCTTAGTTTTCCTTCTAACAGTCTGGCCCCTCTGCTGTAGGACTGCTGAAGTCCACTCCAGGCCCTGCTTGCCTGGGGATGACCCGCAGCAGCTGCAGAACAGTAAGGGTTGCTGCCAGTTTCTTCTTCTGCTATCTTTGTCCCAGAATGATGCCCACCAAATGCCAGTCTGATCAGTCCTTTGTGAGGTGACTCTTTGGATATACAGGGGTCAGGAAGCTGCTTGAGGAGACAGTCTGTTCTTTATAGCAGCTCAAGTGCTGAGCTGTGAGCTCCATTGTTCATTCAGAGCTGCTAGGCAGGTACGTTTAAGTCTGCTGCGGCAGAACTCATAAACCCCTTTTTATTCCCCAGGTGCTCTGTCCTGGGGCATTAGGGCTTTATTTAGGAGTATCTGTTGTGCTGCTGCTTTTCTTCAGGGCTGCCCTGTCCAGCAAGGAGGCAGCCTAGTCACTGTCTGCCTGCATAGGCTTTGCTGAGCTGCTGTGGGCTCTGCCCTGCTGCCGTGTGAACTTCCCTGCAGTCCTATTTATATGGGTGTGGTTAGAACTGCCTTGGCAATGGTGGCCCACCTCCTTAACTCTCTGTTATGGCAGGTTGCCTCGGCAACAGCAGGCTGCCTCAGCAATGGTGGACTACCTCCGTAGGGGTGGACTGCCTCGGTAATGGCAGACACCCCTCCCCCATAGAGCTGGGCCGTCCTGGGTTCAGCTGTGCTTGCTGTGAAACTCTCAACCCTGAGCGTTTCCAATTGCTGGTTTTTTTGTTTTTGTGGGGGTGGGACCCGCCAAACCTGATCACCTGGCTCCCTACCTTGGAGCCTTTTATTTTTAAGTTGAATGGTTGACTCTCTCCCAAGTGTTCCAGTCGCCTGCTGAAAGGGTGCCAGGATCTGTGTGATTTCCCATGCGGTGACCCACTGCACCGGCTGAAAAAATGGTGCTGCCTGGAAATCTCCTGGCCTGGCTCCCTGTTTCAGACCCCTGTTTAATCAGATGAATGGGCGAATCTGTCTTCTCGGAGCTCCAAATGCCAGCTTAAAAGGGCAACCAGACCAGTGTATTTTGTTCAGAGAACTGCTGCGCCGGGGCACCGGCAAAACAGCCATGCTGGCCAAAACAGCCACACTGGCAAAAACAGCTGCGCTGGCGACCTTGGGGCTCCTCCACCTGGGAATCTCCTGGTCTGTGGGCAATAAAGATCCATCTGGAAATGCAGAGTCCACTCACCCTCTGCGCTTTCACTGGGAGCTGCATCCTGAGCTGCTCCTAAAAGGGCCATCTTGCAAACATCTGTTTTTTACTTTTTAAACTTTTTTGTTAAAAACGAAGACACAAACACACATTAACCTAAATCCACACAGGGTCAGGATCATCAATATCACTGTCTTCCAACTCCACATCTTGTTCCACTGGAAGATCTTCAGGGGGAACAACAGGCACAGAGCTGTCCTCTCCTATGATGACTATTCCTGTTCTAGAATAGCTCCTGAAGAACCTACCTGAGGTTATTTGACAGCTAACTCTTTTCTTTGTAAGAAGGAGTACACTCTAAGTTAATGAGAAAGAAGTATAGTATAGTAAACACACAAACCACTAACACAGTGACTTACTATCGTTATCAAGTATTCTGTACCATACCTAATTGGGCGTATGAGACTTTTATATGATTGGCAGTGCAGCAGGTTTGTTCACAGCAGCACTACCACAGCACAAGGGCATGACACTGCCCTGTGGCATTACGATGGCTGCAGCTTCACGAGGTACCAGGCACTGTTCAGGTCCATAGAATCCTATGGGCCCCCTGTTGGACAAGGGCCATCACTGACCAGTATGTCATTATGCAGTGCATGACTACTGAACGCATGGTGGGGAGGAGGGAGCTAAGTGGAAATAAGGCTTCTACATTTCATAAAGTGGCAAAATGTAGATTCCAGCAAACAGTGATAAGTTATGTGTGTCCATTGTGGTAAAATGTGGATTCCAGCAAACGGTGATAAGATACATGTCCAGTGTAATACCCAGAGCAACCAAGAAAACCACACAGAGCAATACACTGAAAACATTATACAATAGTCTAAACGAATTCCTGAAAACATGCAGGTAACCCATAAGGATGTAAAGGAAAGAGAGTATCAAGAGACAAAAAAAACGAACAAAATACAGACTTCAGCCCCTCAGTATTCACCTGATATGTAAATGGCCTAAACATACCAATTAAAATACAGAGACTGGCTGAGTGCATTAGAAAAAATCATCCAACAATATGTTCTCTACCAGAAACTCACTTCAAATACAAGGGCATATAACTAGGTTGCAAGTAAAAGTAAGAAAAGGTTACACCATTACAGACACTGGCCAAAAAAGGAAAAAAAAAGCCAGAAGTGACTATATTAATATCAGATAAAGTGAATTACAAGGCAAGAAAAATTACTAGAAATGAAAGAAATATAGCTGGGCACAGTGGCTCATGCCTGTAATCCTAGCACTTTGGGAGGCTGAGGTGGGAAGATCACTTGAGACCAGGAGTTCGAGACTGGCCAGGCCAACATGGCGAAGCCTTGTCTCTCCTAAAAAATACAAAAATTAGCCAGGTATGGTGGCATACACCTGTAATCCTAGCTATTCAATAGGCTGAGGCATGAGAATCGCTAGAACCCAGGAGGCAGAGAGCTGAGACCACACCACTGCACTCCAGCCTGGGCAACAGAGCAAGACTATCCTCTCGAAAAACAACAACAAAAAGAAGTATTACATAATGATAACAAGATCAATTCACCAGGTAGACAAAATGTTCCTAAATGTGCATGTACCAAACAAAAGAGCCCCAAAGTACACAGAGCAAAAGCTGACAGAACTCAACAGAGAAACAGACAAATACCCAATTATAACAGGACGTCAACACCATCTCCCTCGACAACTGAAACAACTACAGCAAGAGCACCGAACAGTGCAATGAGCCAACAGGATTTAACTGACACATATAAACTACTCCACTCAACAATAGCAGAATACACTTTTTGTTCCCTCCCGAGTGACTTTAGAGCATTTACCACAGACAGCATCACTGGCCATAAAACAAACCTCAACAAAAGCAAAAGAACTGAAATCATACAAAATGTTCTCAGACCACAGTGGAATCAAACTAGAAATCAATAATAGAAAGACATCAGGAAAATCTCTCGATGACTGGAAATTAAGCAACACTTCTAAACAATCCACGAGGTCAAAGAAGTATCAAAGGAAATTTTAAAACTCATTAACAAAATGAAAATAAAAATACAACATATCAAAATATCAGATGCAGATAAAACAGTGCTGAGAGGGAAATTTATAGCACTAAATGCTTACAGTAGAAAAGATGAAGAGTTTAAAATCAACAACCTAAGTTCATACCATAAGAACCTAGAAAAAGAAGCGCAAAATGGACTCAAAGCAAGAAGGAAGGAAGGTGAGAGTAGAAACTAATAGAACTGAAAACAACAATAAAATAAAGAAAATCAATAAAACGAGGAACAAGGCTGGGCACAGTGGCTCATGCCTGTAATCGCAGCACTTTCGGAGACCACGGTGGGCGGATCACCTGAGGTCAGGAGTTTGAGACCAGCCTGACCAACAAGGAGAAACCCTGTCTCTACTAAAAATACAAAAATTAGTGCAGTGTGGTGGCGGGCGTCTATAATCTCAGCTACTCAGGAGGCTGAGGCGGAAGAATCACTTGAACCTGGGAGGTGGAGGCTACAGTGAGCTGAGATTGTGCCACTGCACTCTAGCCTGGCTGACAAGAGTGAAACTCCGTCTCAAAAAAAAAAAAAAAAAAAAATACCAGGTGCAGTGGCTCCTGCCTGTAATCCAAGCACTTTGGGAGGCTGAGGCAGGTGGATCACAAGGTCAAGAGTTTGAGACCAGCCTGATGAACATGGTGAAACCCCGTCTCTAGTAATAATACAAAAATAAGCCAGGTGTAGTGCCTCACCTGTAATCCCAGCTACTCGGGAGGCTGAGGCAGGAGAATTGCTTGAACCCAGGAGGCAGAGAATGTGGTGAGCTGAGATTGAGCGACTGCGCTCCAGCCTGGGCAAGAAGAGTAAAACAAAATTCTGTTTCAAAAAAAGAAGAGAAAACTCCCCTAAAAGAAATCTCATAACACAGAGGATTTTACTGGAGAATTCTACCAAATATTAAGGAAGAATTGACAATTTTATACGTTTTCCAGAAAATAAAAAAAAAGGAACAATTCTCAAAACATTTTGTGAACCTAGTATGACTCTTAATACCAAAACCCAAAAAGCATCCAAAAAAAAAAAAAAGAGAGAGAGAAAACTACACACCAACATCTCTCATGAACGGAGACCCCAAAATCTTCAATAAATTAGCAAACTGAAGGCAGCAATGTATAAAGATAATTATATCCCTAGACCAAGTGGGAATATCCCAGGTATGTAAGGCTGGTTCAACTTTCAAAAATCAATGTTATCCAACATGTCAACTAGCAAAAAAGAAAAATTACATAATCCCATCAACTGGTACAGAAAAAGCAACTGGCAGAATCCACCACCCATTCATCATAAAAACTCTCAGCAAAGTAGGAGTAGATGGGAATTACCTCAGCTTGACAAACAGAGTCTACAATAAACTGACAGCTATCATCACGCTTAATGGTGAGAGACTGAACGCTTTCCCCAGAGGTCAAGAGCAAGGCAAAGATGTCCTTTCACACAATCCTTTTCAACAAAGTACTGGACATTCCAGCCAGTGCAATAAGGCAAGAAAAAACCCAAAAGCATACAGGCTAGAAAGGAAGAAATAAAGCACATGAGACAGGTCCTGATACTATAATCTGATTCCAAAAGAAGTTTCAAAAGTGTCTTAAGTTTTGACCAGTTGTACTCATTGTTGTAAGAAATGTAATACAGGCAGCCTCTGGAGATTAGATCTAAAGCACAATATTTATATACATAAAGTACGGTATATTGGCTTAAAACAAACTCAGGCTCACAGTCCTCTAAGTTTCAGAGGGCACCCTAGACTTTGCAACTGTACTTATTTTCTGGCTGGTGTTCCTGGAATGTACTTGTATATGCAGCATGACCTACAACTTTCTGGGTAAATTAATTCTTCCCATTTGGCTTCTCTCTCCATATGAACCCAATCAAGTGCAGTTGACATTTGGCAATACTATGTTGGGAGAATGAAAAGAAGGATCGGGGAAATGGTAATGATGACGACAGTAACAATGACAACTACACAATGATCGCTCTCATACACATACACACACACCCCACACATGCATGCAGATATACATGCATGTGCTGCGCATGCACACACAGACACATGCAAACACACAGATATACCCCACATACACACGTAGATACCCCCACAGACAGACAACAGGACACACACACAATCCCTCCACAAATGTAGACACATGCCCCCACTGCCAAACAGGCATGAAGATATACATGTATACATGCCACACATACATGCACAGATGCACAGACACATGTGCACACATACAGATACACCCACATACACACACGGATACCCTCCACAGACATACCACAGAACACACACCACACATGCAGACACATGGCCCCCATCAGCACACCACACATACATGCAGATATACATGAAGACATGCCACACATGTATGCACAGACACATGCTGCACACAGATACATCCACATACACACATGGATAACCCCTACAGACATACCACAGAAAACACACCACACATACATGCAGACACAGGAATGCATGCCACACATGCATGCACAGATGCACAGACATGTGCACAGATACACCCACATACACAAATATGGATACCCCCCATAGACATGCTACAGAACACACACTACACATAACCCCCCATAGGCACATCACAAATTCATGCAGATATATATGAATACATGTCACACACACAGCCTGTAAGTATATAGATATACCCCACCTACACACTCACAGAGATACTCCCTCCCCCCACACATACACAAGCATACAGACCCCTCCCACCCACATCAATTACTATGTTCCAGGCCTTGTTCTAAGCGTGTTTGTATCTGACCTCATTCAGTTCTCCTGACTACTCCAACGGTGGGCACTACTGCCCCCACCACACTTGATGGAAGACAAAACTGAGGAACAGTGAGGATAAGTCACCTGCACAGGGTGAGAAGCAGCTAAGCGCAGAGCCAAGGGGTGAGCAAGGCAGTGCTGCTCCAGGGTCTGCGCTCAGAAGCCTGAGCCATGGTGAGTTCAGAACACCTCTCTGGAAAAGGTATAAAGTAGTGTTTTTATGCACAAGCGATTTTAAACTAGAAAAGCAAATTGTGTCCACCAAGCATTTACCTAGAAGACGCACTGCTGCCCGCCTGTATGAGGGTCGGCATGACAGCCATGAAGAGACCGAGCTGCACATCCTGCGTCACCAGCATGCCGAGGAGCACCGTGCTGTAGTCAATGTCGCCTGCAGTGGTGGGAAAGGCATTGAAGACAGGTCTATAGCAACTCAAAGCAGCCGAAATTAAAATACTGCCATTGTGCACACTTCCAAAATAACTCACACGATTTTGGCACTTTACATTTTTAAGAATAGACTTTAAAATCTCTTTGAGAACACAGACTGAGGGATTTTAAGATTAAAAATCTTATAAAGCAAGTCACCAAAATACCTTACTTCTACTACTTACTTGTTATTTATATAATCACTGAAAAACCTCATGACAAAAAGATGACATGGCAAACAAGATGATAGATAAGCACACCAATTTCACTGTGTCGCAGAAACACATGAAGAAGTCTTCGCTTCTTACCTTTATAACTTCCCTGAGCTACTGCAGAAGGCCTGACTCAGGCTCCTCTGGTCACATGGTATGTTCCACACGTGCAGACCCACCCAAGCCACTGCACAGAATGAGCCTTCTCTGTGTGACCAACACAGACGTGGTGTCCAAATGTGCAGACCCACCCAAGCCACCACACAGAATGAGCCTTCACTGTGAGACCGAGCAGGCTCGGCAGACAAACACTAGAATGAGGGCAGAACAGCAGTAGCCATGACTAGCTGAAGAGACTAAACAACTCTGGAAAGAAGAAAAGAAAATGATGAAACACTTTTCATGAATTCAGTAACTTGCACAAGACTACAAAGATCCCCATTTTCAACACACAGTTCTGGCTATGAACTCTAGTAAATATGCTTCTAAAAATTAAATTGTCATTCCCCAACCTCATCCCAAACAAGGTTTTTTGTATTAAAAAAAAAAAAAAAACAAACAAAAAACAAAAAACAGCCGGGTATGGCAGCTTCACTTTGGGAGGCTGAGGTGGGTGGATCACCTAAGGTCAGAAGTTAGAGACCAGCCTGACCAACATGGTAAAACCCCATCTCTACTAAAAATACAAAAAATTAGCCAGGTGGAGTGGTGGGCACCTATTAATCCCAGCTACTTGGGAGGCTGGAGCAGGAGAATTGCTTCATCCCAGGAGGTAGAGGCTGCAATGAGCCGAGACCGTGCCATTGCACTCCAGGGTAGGCGACAAGAGCGAGACTTCGTCTAAAAAAAAGAAATAATAATAATAATAATAAAGCTACTGCTATTACCAGATTTTTAAAGACCAATCTGATAGAAAAGGCTTATTTTTAAAAAGTAGCAGAACCACACAAAACCCCCTCCATGCCAGCAAAAATCTCTTTCTGGATAGAAGTTCAGGTAACATTTTAGAAGGCTTGATTTACTTATTATACAAAATTAAATTTTCGGTGAACAAAATATCTTGGCCTAGAATTTTAAAACAGTCTGAACGGATGATCATGTTAGGCTGTTGTGGCTACAGCTTTGTGCCTTTCAGGGTTACATGATTCAGAGATAATAAAAACTGCCTCCCAACTAGTGCTGTCTGTGCAGAAGCCTCACAAATTGGTGACTTTCACCATAAGGCTTGCTTGGGCTGGTGATCCCCGCACCTCCCTTCATCTCGCAGCCTTTGCAAGACGGGAGGGAGACTGTGAGATGAGAGTTTGTAGCGTGTGAAGGAGCTGAGCTACCCCCATCTTCTGCAGATAACACAGTCACACCTGCGCCCCTTCTATTTAAAAAACAAAACCAAAATCTCTCACTACATGTCACTTTTCAGACATAGCCTTTGGTGATATCACTGCCAGCATTTTGTAAACGTCTTAAATATTTTGTTCTCTTCCTTTGCACCAATCATAGTGAACTGGTTTAAATCCACAGGCATTCAACTGTCGTCCGCAAGACCATGCACCAGACTCTGCAGAGATCAGGTATCTTCACCACAGTCCCTGTGCAGAACCCCAAGTCCACACCCACAAGGCCTGCACAGGAAACCTTTGCTCGCTGGGAGTTCACGGGGCTGCAGGAGAAAGGCAAGTGCTCGGAGCCGGGATGGGTGCCAAATTTCAGGAGCGCAATCAGATAACAGGGAGATGATTATTCCCTGAAATAGCACAGCTTCTCTAATTTCTCAACACTTTTACTATTGTCATCTTTCTGAAATTTGCACTTTTTTTGTGCTTATCACTACAACCATTTTATTTTTTTCCTCTTTTCCATTCCTTTTATTAAAGTTTAAATACACAGAAAACAAGGAGTATATGAAATGCTCACATACCCGCTAAGGAATTTTGCTGAATTTTAAACCTGTGACACATTTGCTTCCAATTTTTAAGGAAATAAAGTCCTGAGAGTGCCACCAAGCAGCTCTGTAAACCCCTTGCCGCTGGGACTGTCTTTACTCCCACGTGACCTTATTCTTAAAGGTCATCATCCCTTGAATGCACTTCTGCTTAGTGTAACATTATAGATTTGGAAACAATGCTGGGTTCATTATTTTCTCATATTAAACTTCACAGAATCAACATTTCTGCAACTTGCTCTTTGACCATGACTATATCTGAAAACCATCCATGCTGGTGCACAAAGCTCTGATTCATTTTTAAAACTGTGGCGGAGTAGACCACAATTTATCCATTCATCTCTTGATGGACATTCAGGAATTCCATTTATTCACCAGTATAAAAACTGCTGCATAAATATTCTAGCACATTGTTGGGGAGCCTCTTTTCCCCTGGCTTGCATTTTCATAAGAAGGGAATGTCTCCTTACCACTCCTGGCCTCTTGCCTGGTCCCACCTACTTTACTCCCAGAGACAAAGCCCTCTTCCTGGGAATGGATGGAGCCCCTCTTCCTTTGGTAAAGCAGCCAGCCACAGCTCCTGGTCTGGAGTTTTTCTCGCAGACCTGAGTTCCACAGGGCGGGCCCTGCCCACGGAGGCCTCTGGATGCCAGTGCTGCATGTGGCTGGGTGGTGAGGCCTAAGCTCATCACTGCCAGTCATGTAACCCACACCTTCCTCATGACCCAGCTGCCTGCCTCCTCTGTTCCTCTATGCGTGGAATGACACATTCACTGGACCCCTTCGAGGGTTTAGGCCCCAGTATCACATGAACTGGCTAGCTATCTTGAGAAATAAAAAGGAGCAGAATTTGGACCAAAATCCACATAAGACTGAGGCTTCTGGTGTGGTCAGAGTTGACACCTTTAAGCTCTGGTGGTACAGTCTTAAGTCTGGGCTATATAGGAATTTCTTTTTCTTCTTCTTTTTTTTGAGATGGAGTCTCACTCTGTGGCCCAGGCTGGAGTGCAGTGGCATGAACTCGATTCACTAGAATCTCTGCCTCCAGGATTCAAGCAATTCTCGTGCCTCAGCCTCCTGAGTAGCTGGGACTACAGAACACACCACCACGCCCGGCTAATTTTTGTATTTTCAGTACAGACAGGGTTTCACCATGTTGGCCAGGATGGTCTTGAACTCCTGACCTCATGTGATCTGCCTGGCTCAGCCTCCCAAAGTGCTAGGATTACAGGCACGAACCACCGTGCCTGGCCATCTATAGGAATTTCTAATAAAATTTCAAACATATGCAAAAGTAGAAAGAGAAATACAGTGGATCTCAAGGAACAGATAATCCAGTTTCCATGATCAAGTAGAACAACCTTGTTTCATATACTAACCTCCACTCTACCCTCCTGAGGGAAGCCCCAGACATCATCTTAACCACACATCTCAGGGTGCCTCTCTAAGGGATAAGTCTGGTGTCCAAATTGGAAAGAATTAAATGATCCTGTAAGAGACGGGATTATCTTAAATGTAGAAAATCCTAAATACTTCACACACAAAATTCTGTTAGAATAAACCAACTCACAAAGTTGGAGGGCACAGAATCAACACACACAAGTCAGCTGCATTTCTATATACTAAACATGAACACTCTGAAAAGGAGATTAAGGAAACAATTCCATTTACAACAGGTCAAAAAGAATAAAATGCTTAGGACGAAGTTAACTAAGGAGGCAAAATGCTTATACACTGGAAACTTCAAAGCGCTGTTAAAAGAAATGAAAGACACACTTAAATAGGGCATCCTGTATTCACGGACTGTAGGCTTAATATTGTTTAGATGTCAATACTACCCAAATTACAACTACAAATCCAATACAATTCCTATCAGAATCCCGACGATGTTTTCAGAAGAAACAGAAAAACCTATACGGAATCTCAAGTGACCCCAAACGGCCAACCTAAGTCTTGAACAGTTAGTTGGAGGATTCACTCTTCCTGGCCTCAAAACTTACTACAAAACTATAGAAATAAAACAGCAGCATTTGGAAATTAGAAACTGTTTTTCCACTTTTTAGTGGTTACCTGGTTTCAAAAACAATTATTATAACATACTCTGGATCAAGAAAAAAGGTACAAAGCATCATGTCATCAATGACCAGAGCCATCACCCAGCTTCTGAAAGAAATGTCACAAGCGGCTGCTGCCCTGCCTCACTCTCTGATCGCACACCTTCCCCGTCTCCGGCAGAGGCACCCTGACACATCTGGCTTTTAGTGTAAAAGTTTGCATGTATGTAAAGCTCAGACTTTATTAAATATGTTGTATTCTACATCTTATATTTTTCCTTCTATGCTTCAGGAGTAATTCACAATAGCTTCCGCAGAATTCCAGTGTATGAATACACCTTAACTGTCCAGCATGTTACTGAATATTAAGTTAATCAATTTTTTGCAACTAAAAATAATGCTGTTGGCCAGGCGCAGTGGCTCACGCCTATAACCCAAGCACTTTGGGAGGCCGAGGCAGGGAGATCACAAGATCAGGAGTTTGAAACCTGTCTGACCAGCATAGTGAAATCCCGTCTCTACTAAAAATACAAAAAACTAGCTGGGCTTGGTGGTGGGCTCCTATAATCCCAGCTACTTGGAAGGCTGAGGCAGGAGAGTCGCGTGAACCTGGGAGGTGGAGGTTGCAGTGAGCCAACATCATGCCACTGCACTCCAGCCCCAGCAACAATGTAAGACTCTGTCTCAAAAAAATAATAATAAAAATGCTGTTTTGAATTATAATATTTTGCAAAAAAATTTCTAGGCTATGTATGTAGAAATGGAATTTTCTGACTGTAAAACTGTTCTCCAAAGTGGCTGAACCAATTTACATTCCCATGGAGAATGCTTAGATCTCATAACTCCACATTCTTGCCAAGGGTACAACATCAGGTGAAAAACGTTTCCCAGGGCCAGGTATGGTGGCTCATGCCTGCAATCCTAGCACTTTGGAAGGCTGAAGCAGGAGGATTGCTTGAGGCAAGGGTTCAAAACCAGCCTGGGTAACACAGAGAGACCCCGTCTCTACAAAAAAATAACAAACTTAGCCAGGCGTGGTGGCACACACCTGTAGTCCCAGCTACTCAGGATGCTGAGGTGGGAGGATCGCTTGAGCCCAGGCGGTCCGGGCTGCAGTGAGCCAAGATAGAACCACTGTGCTCCAGCCTGGGTGACAGCAAGACCCGATCTAAAACAAAGCTTGGCAGCCAGCTCATGTGGATGGCATCTATCTCAGTCCCCTCAGTCTGCAGCCCCAATTACTAGCGAGGCTCCTGTCTCCATGTTCACTATCATTCAGGTTTCTTCTCCCAAAAGTTACTTACTCAGACATTCTGGCTATTTTCCCATTAGGTTAATTTTTGGTTTGGATTTACAGACGTTCTTAATATATTATGAATATTAATCCTTTGCTCTAAGCAAACAATAAATAACTATGGGAAATGTCTTCCTCTGACCTGTAGCTTATTTAAAAAAAAATACTTTTCAGCCAGGTGCAGTGGCTCATGCCTGTAATCCCAGCCCTTTGGGAGGCCAAGGCAGGCAGATCACAAGGTCAGGAGTTTGAGACCAGCCTGACCAACATGGTAAAACCCCCGTCTCTACTAAAAGTACAAAAATTAGCTGGGCGTGGTGGCGTGTGCCTGTAGTCGCAGCTACTCAGAAGGCTGAGGCAAGGAGAATCACTTGAACTCGGGAGGCGGATCCCAGATTCCATCTCAAAAAAAAAAAAGCCTTTCAATGAGTTACATAGTTTGCCCTACAGTGAGGTTAGTATGAAAAAGAAAGTTACAAAGTTGAATGTGTCCTATGTATCGGTATTTTCTCTTTTGAATTCTGCTATATATATATTTTTTTTTGAGACAGAGTTTCGCTCTTGTTACCCAGGCTGGAGTGCAGTGGCGGGATCTCGGCTCACCGTAACCTCCGCCTCCTGGGTTTAGGTGATTCTCCTGCCTCAGAATTCTGCTATATTTTAAGGAATTCTACCCTGAGATTATAAAGAGATTTTCTATTTCCTTCTCCTAGTTTACAGCCAAGCTAATTTTATTTTCCTCCATTTGGAGAAGCTAATTCCCACTCCTGGTGAGCTGATCTCCAGCTTCTCTGCAGTGTCTGTGGGCCCCACTCCCCAGCTGCATCTCAGCCTATGGTGCCACTATCCACCGTGACACCATCAGTCCCGACAGCTGCTGGGGCTCCTCATCTCAAACTCATATTGCCTATGGTTGGCCTTCTGGCCCCAAATACATTTTAGGATCAGTTTGTTCAGTTTCATGAAAAACCCCGCCATATTTTTTTATTGGAACAGCTATGAGTTTATAAATTTGAGGAGAAATTACATCTTTATGAATAGGTCTTTTCATGAACTCTGTGAACACAAATTCACTCCATTTGTGACTTTATCCTCAAAAGTCACAGCTCTCTTTTGAGAAGTTTATTCCTGAAGCTTTTTTTCAAATTACATCTGCTAACTGTGCTGTAGTTCTATCACACATTTAACAGGTTTAATTGTAAATTTCTTACATTTTCTAAATGGGTTGTGGGTCTATCACACATTTAACATGTATAATTGTAAATTTCTTACATTTTCTGACTGCGCTGCGGGTCTATCACACATTTAACGGGTTTAATTATAAATTTCCTCTCCAAGTCCAAGTCCTGGAGTCCAACTCCTTCCCAAACAAGAGCCCCTCCTATCTTCTTACTATGTAGAGTTTCAGCCTGGCCTTCAAAAGCACAAACTCAAACACTTCCTTTTCTAACAGGCAGAGTTGACTAAATTTATCAACTTCTAGAACCGTCCGTCTCCCTGCTGTCTCCACGCCCAGCTCCGCCTCTGCTGGGCCCCCGTGCTGGCCCTGTGAAAACGGAAGGGTGGGCGGTGCTCTGGGGTCTTCACACATCAGAAATGCCAGCATGTCACCCCCAACTCTTCCATGGTACTTTTGCTGGACACATTATGACTTGTCTCCCAAGGGTGTGGGATACCTACCTGCTATATTCTACCACCTGAGGTTACTGAGACGTGTCCTGTCAGCCCATTTACATGCTGTTCCTTCTTAGACCACCTGTCTTTTCTGCCAAGTGTTCAGACGTTCCCTTCACGCTCTACTGCAGTACATGACATACCTGGGTGGGCTTATTTCCCTTTATCCTGTGGGTGTTGGAGACAGGCTCCTGACTTGAGTTCTGAAAACATACCAGGCACCCTCTCCAGTCCAGCACCTGGGCTCTGAGTCTGTATATACTGACCCTCTCCATCCACTCTCCGCCCCTCTCCAGTCCAGCACCTGGGCTCCGAGTCTGTATATACTGACCCTCCCCACCCACTCTCCGCCCCTCTCCAGTCCAGCACCTCGGCTCCGAGTCTGTATATACTGACCCTCTCCATCCACTCTCTGCCCCTCTCCAGTCCAGCACCTGGGCTCTGAGTCTATATATACTGACCCTCTCCATCCATTCTCTGCCCCTCTCCAATCCAGCACTTGGGCTGCAAGTCCACATGTACTGCACACTTATTTTGAATTATTAAGCTTTTCTGTCCATAACGAGAGTTGACACTGTGACTACTGAGTCTGTCGGCTCTTTTCCAGCCACACATTTCTTTGCAGGTGTGCGTATTCTCATGTGCGGACCATTAACCCGGACTGTTTTCATGCATCATTCCTGATGTCCACTTGGTCATTTTCCATTCCACTTGGCCCTTGATCCTACGTCCCTGTCCAGCTCTCACAATGGGGCTGACCCTAAGATCAGCCCATAGGGATGCTGGGACCAGAACTGAGGAGGCCAATGGCCAGGGCTACCCATCCAGTGTCTAGCAGGGAGGCTGCATCTCTGTCCCACTGGAGCCTCAGGCCCAGCAGAAGGCAGTAGATTTTTAAAAAGTCTTCCCTGTCTCCTTTCATAGAAGGAAGCTTCCCAAGTCCCCATCAGACAGTGAGGGCACGTGTGGGTCCTACATACTCCAGCACCCAGCTCGGTGGCCCACGGCTAGCTCTGCTCAGGCTCTGGGTTCCTGTCAGAGGCACAGAGCCCGTTGGTTTACAGGAGAGGTCAGACACACCTCCTTGGTTTTCTCTTCTCATAGTTTCTCTAGTTCTATGCCTTTGTGTTCAGTGCAGGGTGAACATCAGAGTGAAGTTACTGTGACATTTCTACCTTGTATTTTACTGACTTTTAGAAAATAAGAGCTAAACAATGACAACTTACCCAGCAGGCTGTCAGAAACAGTGGCCCTGCCAAAGCCTCCCTGCACAGGGACATGGTCCTGCCTAGGCTTCCGAGCAAGATGGCTTCCACTAAACACAATCCCGATTTAGAGGCGCCAATATTTCATACACACAATGAAACTAAGGCCAAAGCCTCAGAGTGAGGAACACCTTCAGTTACCAAAGCACCTTGATTTCAGGAAGAAAAAGTGTGTCAATTCCCAGTGCTTGCTAGGGTTAAAGCAGCCAAACCCCACACACGACTTCCTCACCTTAGGTCATTTCCAGTCCTCAGTGGTTTTTCAAAATCTTGGTCCAATTTCTCTCTGACCCTCAAATGATCCTAAATTTGTAAGCATGTAATGGGCATTTTTCTTAATCAAGTGGAGAAGTGGAGGTTTGGAGGAGCTGAGTTCACAGGAACATCAGTTCCTTATGGAATACAAGCCCCGGTATCCACAACTGTTAGGAGTGTCCTAAGAGGGGAAGTAAGACTTATAATTTTTCATCACAGGCCCTCAACTGTGAATCCAAAAGTCATTACACACGAGCATGAATTACACACGCACTCAGAACATGCCATCTACACGCGAGCATGAACTACACAGGCACTCGGAACACGCCGTCACCTACACACGAGCATGAACTACACACGCGCTCAGAACATGCCATCATCTACACGTGAGCATGAACTACACACGCACTCGGAACATGCTGTCACCTACACACGAGCATGAACTACATACGCACTTAGAACACGCCATCACCTACACACGAGCATGAATTGCACATGTACTTGGAAAACACTATCACCTACCTTCTTTGTCACCCCGAGCACTGCCCACGAGGAACCTGGACACGAGGGGTGTGCTCGACAAGGACAGACACGTGGAAATGAAGACGCTCTGCGTGGGTTTGATCCGCAAGAGATGACCCCACAGCAAGCCAAATGCAATCATTAACAGTGTCATGTAACATGGCCCTTGTAAGGAGATCTTCCACACCTTAAAGAGAACACAGTGATTCACACGCTTTTTAGTGACAACAGGCAATGACCACACCACACAGACTGTGTGCATTTCTACATCCAGGAAAGGAGGCAGAGCTGAGCTTTTAGGAAGCAACGCTGGGGTCGCACATCCAACACCATCATCTTAACACGATGAATACTCACACTGGGCTTCCTCAGTGCCAGGCACTGTCACAGGGCTGCACGCACACAATACACGCACACGTGTGGTTTACACACATGCACTCTCTCCCCATGTGTGTACATAAAACCTAATCCTCAGAACTACTTAAGGACAACATGACAATTTCCTCCACTTTTAGATGAAAACACTGAGGCACATATAGGTTAAGTGACTCATCCTGGGTCATGTGGTCAGTATGTGTCAGAAACTGGACGTGAATCCAGGCAGTGTGGCCCGAAAATCATGGCACCTCGGGGTGCACTCAGCAATGTTAAATGAGATGGGGAAGGGGGAAAAAAAAGCACATTTTGATTATAAAATAATACAAACTACCTATTTATATAAACATAAGTATTACAGATTAACCAAATAAATTAACCTGAACTCCTCCTATTCTACTTGAAGTACTCATTCATTTTTTTTTCTCCTCATTGCATGGTCCCAATCAAAATAAGCATCAGTTCCCTAATTCTAGGCCCTCTACTGAAAGTGAAAGTTGGGCGGGGCCCTAGAAGGAAAGGATGCAGGGGCTGTGTGGCTAAACACAGGTATTGTGGAGCAGCTGGGCACAGGCAGCTCTGGGGGGCCCACCCGAGAAGCCCGCCAGCCCCAACATACACAGGCAGCTCAAGGGGGACCCACCTGCATAGCCCACCATCCCCAACATACATGGATGGCTCTGGGGGACTCACTTGCGTAGCCCACCAGCCCGTGTACACAGGTGGCTCTGAGGGGACCCTAAGCCCACCAGCCACCAAACAGCTCTGGGCTGCAGAGACTCAGATAGTCTCTAATCTCTGGGCTCCCTCTGCCGCGGACCCTCTCTCCTTCCACAGCAGGGGAAGGGTCAGTCCCCACAAAGGCTGCTTCTAAATTTCTCTTCTCTACTTCCTACACTTGGCAATCATGAGGGTTATCACAGCACTAATCTCAACTCTTCCTCTTCCTAGAGCAAAGGAAGCACCTGTGCAGGCCATGCTGGCTGCAGCCTGAAGAGGCCCCTGGGCTCAGGGGTTACTCCTGTGAACAGTGTCCTCCAACTCTGATTTAGGGTCTTCCTAACCCTCAAGGGACACCTGGAGTTGAGACCTGATCTGCTGCTAACTCACAGTGCGCCATGGGTGGGGAGCAACCTCTCTGGCTTTAGTTTCCACATCTGTAGAGAAAAGGCAAGACTCTGTTACCTCTGAGGTCATTACCAGAGTGAACCTTCTCTGACCTTATTATCTTGTGTCACCCCACACTCTGGTCAGGAGGGCCCTGGGAGCAAGGTGTGGAGATGCCACAGTGGGAAACAGTTCCAGGAACAGCCACAGGGGCACAGGTGAGAGTAAGAAGCTTCCTGTTCAACATGAGACCTGTGCACGCATCAAAAACCCCACCTGCAGGCCCACTCAGGTCAGAAACTGTGGGTTAGCAGGCCCCCCAGGTGGCCGCATGTGCGCTGGAGGGAAGGATGTGCTGACGGGCGGGCTCCTGGGCAACCTGGCTCCCTCTGTACTAGGACCTCAGCCTCAAATACTGCCTCTTCAATCATCGTCTTCTTCCTCTTCTAAGACACATTCTCCTGAAATCTCAAAACACAAGCCACAGGGTAGGGGCAAATCTACGTTATACACAGCCTCAGCTGGCACCCACCAGCCCAACATACCTTGGGCTCCTGCAGCCCTGGAGGACCCGGAATATCACAGGTGCTCGACAGGTACTTGTAGAAAGAACAGATAAGATACGAGAGAGAAGCAAACAAAACTCCCAACCCCAATGGCTCTATGAACGATCGAGAGAGGCAGAAACTGACAGATTCTTAAGAGATCAAGTTTAAGGAACAGTTGAAGTCAAGCTAGAGGTGCCAGCGGTTACCACGGCGAGAACAGAGCTGGCTGCTTTCCTCGGCACTCACACTGCAGGGCTTCGGGACGTCAGCATTTCAAGTAGTTTCTAATCATACCGTTAGAGGTCCTAAGACAGGCCTGCTGGCAATTATTAACATTTCAAAAACCCAAGAAAATTATTTTCCCACCCACAAGCGGGGCGTGCAGGCTAACCCACGTGGCAGGAAGCTCATCAGAAAAGCTACTCCGGGTAACTCATGCTGTTCTGAAGCTCAGCCAGAGATAGATAGATATATATGTATATCAGAGTAATAAAAAGGGGAAAATAGACACATTGCTTAATTATATCATTTTCTGCAATCTGAGTCCACAGACCTAGAAAAACCGTGGGATGCTGTCTCCAGGAACCAGAGTGGGGCTGGACTCCAAGGGCTCCTGCCAGGGGCAGCAGCACAGGCTCAGGTATGGGTGAGGGGAGCTGGGACCAGGAGACCCTCCTCAGCACCGAGACACCCGTACATCCCAGACACCTGCCCAGCACCACTCAGTCAGGTGTCAGAAAGGAGTTTCACAGACGTTTCCTGAGTCCCAATGCAGTGTCTGTCCATGCATCTAACTCTGTCACCACACAGAGCAGCTGAGCACAACTCACAAAGAACGCCAGGCTATTCCTGAGCCCCCAAGTCTACACCACCAAGCAGGCACCTCAGAACTGGGTGTAAACCCTCAGAAGCACCATCTAGACAGCAGCACTGATGAAACACGTGCTCACACTGCTTACAATTGTCTTAACGTTATGTTACACGATGTTTTTTATTTAACTGTGAATACTATAGTGGCGAAAAATACAAACTACAAAAACGCAGAGCCAAAAGAAACTTGAATCTTCCAGATTCCTCACTGTGTAGGAGAGGAAATGAATGTTCCGGCAGGTACGCGCTCTGCGGAAGCTCCACTGCACAGCCAGAGCTGCATCCCCTCCCGCCTCCCCTAGGGGCTTGCTGTAAAGTTCTCTAAATTATACATATACACGCCCACACCCACACCCAGACAAGCCCATGCTGCACCATGAAACAGAGGCCTCCGGTTTTTACAGAGCCTCTCGGGACACAGGTGAGGCAGGACACTGAGCAGCCACGCCCCCTTACTCCCCCATAACACGCTCCTCCACAGGCCAGGCAGCCATGCAGCCCATGCCCCTCACCCACCCGCCAACATGCTCCTTCACAGGGTCAACAGTAAGGATGGGGCCGCTTTTCCTTAGGACCCAGGAGAGTGGTGAATTCTCTTTAATCTCCAAGTTCATAAATTAACAATTTACAAGACCTATAAAAAGAAATATAGTATCTGGAGAACACCCTAAAGTAATTCAGAATGTCTTTTGAGCTTCAGGATTGCTCACAGGAAAGGGAGAGCAATGAGGTGATGGACAAATGGAGCTTTTAGTGGAAAAACAGAAGAGTAAAGAAAACAAAGTTCTAGGTGAGAGGATGAACTGAGGAAGAAAGGGAAGAGAACACAAAGAAAAAGGTACCAGTGAGGTCGGAGTTCACTACTGAAAGTAAACACAAGACTTTCAAAGAAAAGTTGATTTTTCCTTATAATGACAAAATATATACTGCTTATTACAGATAATTTGGAAAATACGGAGAAGAAACCAGCCACCCATGGTTCCCTGGCACATGTATTTCCTCTATTTTCCCTGCGTATTAGTTTCTTTTACATTGCCACAGTCATGTTACGTGCTCCTTTTTTCCCCCTAGTTTAGCATTCTAACAAACACTTTCCTTTGCTACTGCATGCTCTAACTTCGCAATGGCTACCTCATCGTCCATCAGGAGTCATGGCACAGTTCTACTGTTTCTTAAAAACTTATAATGGGGAGCTGAGACCTTTAGAAGGTAAATTTTTGAAAACTCCTGTTTGATTCTTTGCTTTGGATACAGACCTAAAAGAACTACTGGGTCAAGGAATATGGACATTTTAAGGCTCTTAGGTCAAACTGCTAGACAGCTCTTCAAAAAGGTATACAAATCCACAGAGCTGGAGAAAAGCTCCACAATCTGTGCATCCAACAAACGACTAATATCCAGAATTTACAAAGAAGAATCTACAAAAATATCAGCAAGAAAAAAAACCAAAAAAATCCCAACAAAAAGTGGACTAGGGAGGCTGAGGCAGGTGGATCATGAGGTCAAGAGATCAAGACCATCCTGGCCAACATGGTGAAACCCCGTCTCTACTAAAAAATACAAAAATTAGCTGGGCGTGGTGGTGTGCACCTGTAGTCCCAGCTACTTGGGAGGCTGAGGCAGGAGAATTGCTTGAACCCAGGAGGCAGAGGTTGCAGTGAGCTGAGATCGCGCCATTGCACTCCAGCCTGGTGCCTGGTGACAGAGCAAGACTCTGTCTCAAAAGAAAAATAAAAGTGGGCTAAGGCCATGAATAGACAATTCTTAAAAGAAGATGTACAAATGGCCAAAAAACATTAAAAAATGCTGAGTATCATTAATGATTGGGGAAATGCAAATCAAAACCACAATGTGATACCACCTCACTCCTGCAAGAATAGCCATAACCAAAAAATAAAAATAATAGATGTTGGCGTGGATGTGCTGAGCAGGGAACACTTCTACACTGCAGGTGCGAATGTAAACTAGTACAATCACTATGGAAACCAGTGCGGAGATTCCCTAAAGAACTGAAAGTAGAACTACCATTTGATCCAGCGGTCCCACTACTAGGGAAAAAGAAGTCATACGACAAAGATACCTGCATAGGCATATTTATAGCAGCACAATTTGCAATTGCAAAAATATGAAACCAGCCCAAATGCCCGTCAATCAACAATTGGATGAAGAAAATGTGGGATATGTGTGTGTGTGTATATATATCACCATTAAAGAACTTACTCACTTAAACAAACACCACCTGTTCCCAAAAAACCTACTGAGCTAAAAGAAGTGAAAATTTAAAAAGGAAAGAATACTACGTGAGGGGCTGATCGATTAGGCAAACCAGACACTGTAAATTAAGTCACTTCGTTTAAAATGACCAAGTCTTTCGTGGGGGAAAAAAAGGGTGTACAGTTGGATTCTCATGAATCTGGTTCAAGAATGCCTATTGCAGTCACTTAAAAACTTTTGCTAAATCGATATTAGTTTTCCAGCTAGCACTGTAGGCAAAATGGTATCTGATCTTCATTCACAGGGGTTCTTTTTCTTACCAACAGTGTTCATTTTAACTCTTCCCACCCCAGCTTTTAAGCAGCCACTTTCCTCTCTTTTGAGGTGTCTGTTGAAAAACAGTGTCTTTTAATTAACGCACTTCCAATTTACAAAGCTTTTTCTAGGGTAACACACTGAATATGTAACCTCTATGAAATCTGACCCTCTAACAGTTTTTACCTTCTGGGAGGGACCCATCTATTCAAGTTCAAACACATTACCTTTCAGACCTTTCCCGAAATTAGCCATGTGAAAGCTAGTTCCAATTCTTCATTGAATTTCTATTCTCTCAAACCTCATGTTTTTTATCTTTTTGAATTTGTTCCAAAAATATCAAACTGAAATATCATATTCTATTCTAAAAACATTTAATTTGACAGTTAATTCATCAACAAGTATTAAAAGTCTATGAACTAAAACCACATGATGTAAAGTTCCTTAGAGGCAGCAACAGATTGATGAGGTCCTTACCTTTCTTAGTTTTTCTGGAGAAAATTCTAAGCCAACAAGAAAAAGAGTAAAAAACACCCCAAATTCTCCTAATGTCTCCACTTGCACAATAGACTGAAAAACACACAAAACATAGAGCATATAATTTTATAAGTTGAACTAATTAAGTATACTCAACTAAACAATCGTCCTAATATGCCCAGTGGAATTATTAAAAACAAAAAAAACAAAAAAACAAAAAAAAAACACCACACACAGCCGGGCATGGTGGCTCACACCCGTAATCCCAGCACTTTAGGAGGCTGAGGCGGGTGGATCACGAGGTCAGGAGTTCAAGACCAGACTGGCCAACATGGTGAAACCCCGTCTCTACTGCAAATACAAAAATTAGCCAGTGTGGTGGCAGGCGCCTGTAACCCTAGCTAATCAGGAGGCTGAGGCAGAGAACTACTTGAATCCGGGAGGTGGAGGTTGCAGTGAGCCGAGATTGTGCATTGCACTCCAGCCTGGGTGACAGTGCAAGACTCTTGTCTCAATTAAAAAAAAAAAAAAATACGGTTATGCAGCACTTTGGTTGCATTCAGTATGTAAAGGGCAGTCTGAGTAACCTGGCCCAGAATGTTACTAGAAAGGACTCCTTAAAACTAACAGAATGGAAAGAAACGAACAGGGCTGTTGTCTCCAGCTACTCCACCCCTTCATGAACAGGCACAACAGCTTCCGTAGGGTTCAGAGAAGACGTCCCATGAAACTTGAAGGGACATCTTTGAAATGGTTTATAGCAAACTGGTATCTTCATTAATTCACATTCAACACTTTTTAGTCATTATAAATTTTTTTTAATATTCTGTTAAGCAGATACCAAAACAGTTAAATTTTGTTCTTACCTTAATACTATTTAGTCCTGAAGGTCCCAGAAGTACACCACAAATAATATAGCCAAACATTGTAGGTAACCCTATAGCTGTACACAGCCAGCCACAAGGCAAGGACAGCATTCCGATGGTAACAATGTCCTGTAGAATAAAATAAGAAACAGAGTGTCAGATAAAGTGATAAGAGCGTTGGCTGGCTAAGAAACAGAACAGGACGTAGTTAGTCCCTGATTTCATCTGATGGGAATGAAGAGTGAAGACAAAACCAGATTTTCCTGCTGCGGAGGGTCCAAGAGAAGCTGAGAACCTGAAGAGTATATTCTGGGAATAGATGTAGTTAGTTCCTCATGGCCTAAAGATGACAGTCACCCTCAGTATCCTTAGGGCAGTGGTTCCAGGATCCTCCCCCGTCCCCGTATCAGACCCTTGGATCTCAAGTCTGTGAAATGAAACGGGATGTGCATGGAGCCTAGCACATCCTCCTGTATAAACTGCCTCTAGATTACTTACGATACCTACACAATGGAAACTGTTATATATAAATTTTTTACTGTATTGTTACTCTTGGGTTTTTTTCTGAATATTTTCATCTACAGTTGGTTGAATCTGAGGATGCAGAGCCTGTAGACACAGAGGGCAGACTGTACAGCAAAATTTTTGTTTTGCTCAAGCCCCACAGAGTGTTCTAAGAATTCTGAGTCGTAGAATTCCACTGAGTTTTCTAATTTGGGAAACTTTCAGTGCTGGTGTCCAAAATGCAATTCATGTGGCTTCACCATGACGGGTGCGGGCAGGAATCTTTAGTGAGTGCTAGCACTGCTATGCCCGCAGTCTGAAGGTCAGCGAGAAGCAGGATGCAGTCTCAAAACCTCTCCCGGGAAATTGCTGATTCATTACAATGGGAGAAAGAATAACCTCACGGAGACCTCTGCCCCTTCTTGGAGGGCACTGACGGTGCTGCACAGCAGCCTCAGCCCCTCCAGGGTGGGCCCACTCCGTTGTGACCACATCTCTCTCTGGCTGGTCTTTCTCTGCCTGGGACAGCACCATCTTCGAGCCTAGATTCTCTGGCTTGGTTTCTGCTCCTACACCACTTCCAGTATCTGCTAGAGACCTGAAGGTTTCTCAGGTTCTGCCAGGCTTCCCTAAGGAGCTGCACCTGTCACCGCCATTCCGCTCCCTCCTTAGTAACCAGCTAGACCATGATGCCCTCAGCTTCAAGTACTTCCCTGCAGAGCCTTTTTGTAGACTGAGCTCCTGGGAGGAAACAGGTCTGAATCCAGTTCCATCTGGAAAGCCACACTGCTGGATGGGTTCTCACACTCTGCACCCCAGGACTAAAGGAAGCCATATATAACTCCCTAGTCAAGACCTCTGCCTTTTAAGGATTTTTAACTTCAGTGAAAAGTTTTTAGAAGACTAAAAGCTTTAGTCCCATTACAGTAACTCCTAATTTCAAAAAGTCTTCCAAATTCTCCAAAACAAAGTTAACTTTCATTTTAAAGTTATCTTATTCCTTCAGAAAAAGAGATTAGAAATTAAGGGAAGATGCCTCAAATCACAGAAAATTTAGGGAGTTTTAGTAAAATCTCTTAGAAGGAAGGCTGTACACTCCAGTATCATGTTCAGAAGATGAACCTTGGTCATACTGACACTGTGAACCAGGACAAATGGGGGAAGGCGGGCCTCCCCACCACATGACTTGCTACCTTTATAAAGTGGTGATCTGCGCGTGGGATGGTTGAATCTCTGGGCTTGGTCAAAATATACTGGTTGTTCTGGGAGTCGATCAGCATGCTAAGGCCCAGGTCGTCCTCCACTTCCCGTTTTGTCATATTTTGCTTAGAATTGGCCTCTTCTTCCTCCACCCGCAGAACTGCCTCAAAATTGACCCCCTTGACCTGTAAGAATAATAATGTTATGTAATTAAAATCAATTAAGTGCTTCCGAATTTTAGAGAATGAATGCTAAACAGAAGAATGTAAAAATGTAACACTCAACGTTCATTAGCAGTGAATCAGGACTCCTTTCTCAGTTAAAGAAGTGACTTAGTAATGGACAGATGCAGGCTTTTTGCTACTTTCCATCATCTACTTCACATTCTTTCAAAAAATTCACAGCCCTTAAAATACCTATGAGTTCTCCTAATTCCATAATTAGTTGATTTTTAAACACCTTATTTCTTCTGCTCTATTTTTACTGTCTGTCTCCGCTTTCTTCTCTAATCTTATTCTGATTTTTTATTGCCCAACCCTTTTTTTTTTTTTTTTTTTTTGGGGGGGGGAGGAAGGCAGGAAGGAAGGGAAGAAGGACGGTAGGGAGGAAGGAAGGGATGAAGGAAGGAAGGAAGGAAGGGAGGAAGCGGGGAGGGAGGGAGGGAGGGAAGGGAAGAAAGGAAATCAAGCAATGAAAGAGACATTGCCGACCTGGATCTAGAGGTTTACAAGTTGATTTCTTTTTTTTTGAGAGAAGGAAAGAAAAAAAAAAATAAGTAAAGGAGAGGAAGAAAGAGGAAGAGAAAGAGGGAGAGTAAATGGAAATATTGCTTTATTTTGAAAAAAATTGGGTATTAATAATGGCCAATCAATGTTTCATTTAAACTAATGGGTAGGTGTGATGTGGTATTGACAAGAATGTATATTTTGTGTATTTGAAGTGGAGAGCTCTATAAATATTTATTAAGTTTACTTGTTCTGGATCTGAGTTCGAGTCCTTGATATCCTTATTAATTTTCTGTCTCATTGAGTCTAAGTCTCCTATCTGGGTGTTAGGATCGTTAGCTCTTGTTGTTGTATTGATCCTTTTACCACTATATCTTTGTTGCTTTAAAATCTATTTTATCCGATACAAGAATTGCAACTCCTGCTTTTTATTTATTTATTATTTATTTTTGCTCTCCATTTGGTTGGTAAATCTTTCTCCATCCCTTTGTTTTGAGTCTTTGTGTATCCTTGCATGTGAAACAGGTCTGGATGTAACATGCCGTTGGGTTTTGGCTATGTCTTTTGATTGGGAATTTAGTCAATTTAAATTTAGGGTTACTGCCATTTGATGTTGACTGGCTGTTTTATCCATGTGTTGGTGTAAATTCTTCTTTATGTTGGTGCTCTTTACTTTTTGGTGTATTTTTAGAAAGGCTAATACTGGTTGTTTCTTTCTGTGTGTAATGCTTCTTTCAGAAGCTCTTGTAAAGCAGGCCTGGTGGTAATAAAATCTCTGAGTTCTTGCTTGTTCATAAAAGATTTTATTTTTCCTTCAGTTGTGAAGCTTAGTTTGGCTGGATATGAAATTCTGGGCTGAAGGTTCTGTTCTTTGAGGATGTTGAATATTGGCCCCCACTCTCTTCTGGCCTGTAGAGTTTCTGCTGAGAGATCTGCTGTAAGTCTGATAGGCTTGCCTTTGTGGGTTATCCGACCTTTCTCTCTGGCTGCCCTTAGTATCCTCTCCTTCGTTTCAACCCTGGTGAATCTAACGATTATGTGCCTTGGGGTTGGTCTTCTTGCGGAATATCTTTGTGGTGTTCTCTGTATTACCTGGGGTTGAATGTTGACCTGCTTTGCTAGTTTAGGAAAATATTCCTGAATAATATCCTGAAGGGTATTTTCCAGCTTGGATTCATTCTCTCCGTTGCATTCAGGTACACCTATCAAACGTAAATTTGGTCTTTTCACATAGTCCCACATTTCTTGGAGACTTTGCTCATTCCTTTTTATCCTTTTTTCTCTAATCTTTTCTTCACGTTTTATTTCATTAAGTTGGACTTTGACCTCTGATATCCCTTCTTCTGCTTGAACAATTCGAGTGTTTAAACCTGTGCATACTTCTCGGAGTTCCTGTATTGTATTCTTCAGTTCCATTAATTCACTCATACTCCTCTCTAAGTTGTCTATTCTCAATAGGATTTCATCAAGCCTTTTGTCAAAGTTCCTAGTTTCTTTACGTTGGGCTACAACATGGTCTTTTAACTCACCGAAGTTTGTTATTATCCATTCCTTGAAGAGTGATTCTGTCATCAGGAGGCGCTCGTTCTCCATCAAGCCTTGTTCCATTGTTGATGTGGAACTGTGATCATCTTTAGAGGGAGAGGCGTTCTGACTTTGAGTATTCTCAGCTTTTTTACGCTGATTTCTTCCCGTCATTGTAAATTTATCCTCCTCTCGTCTTTGAAGTTACCAACTTTCAGATTAGGTCTCTTGAGTGGACGTCCAGGTTGTTAGTTCCCAGGGCCAGAGCAGCGGCGTTAAAACTGATGGTGCTTTTCCGCCCAGGATTCTCCTGTCAGGCTTCCTTCTTGTGTCCGTAGTAGGCGACTCTGCCTTCCCGGGGCTCCAAACCTCGGTCAGAAGGGGAACCCGTCCCGTTTACTCTGCTCCGAGAGCTGCCGCGCCGAGGTGCCGGCGGAACCGCTGCGCCGACCACGAGAGTCGCGCTGGCGACCCCTGTGTTTCCACCACTGGGGGATCTTCTGCTCCGTGAGCGACCAGACTTTGTCTGAAAGTGTGGCGTCCTCTAGTTCTCCGCGCCTTCCCTGAGAGCTGCAATCCCGGGATGTTAGCGATCGGCCATCTTGGATCGTTCAGCTGCCCAACCCTTTTTTAAGTCTCATCAAGACCCAGTCAATTTTCGTCATCAATCCCACTTTTTTTCTTAGAATCTTAAACACACTACACCAAATGAGCAGCCTGAATTCCTGCTTCGGAGATAAAGATCATTTTCTGTAAGGCATTCACTGCTCCCCCTGCCACAGGCGTTCAAACCAGAGCGACTCCACCTTGAACATAAGCAGGGTAAAATGAGGATGAGACCTTCTGGGCTGCCTTTCCAGGACAGGCGTTCTCAGTAACAGGCTGAGACAGGAGGTCGGCAAGACTTGTATCACAAGATACAGGCCACAAAAACCCCACTGACAAAACAGGATGCCATGAAGAAGCTGCCAAAACCCACCAAATCCAAGATGGCTGTGAAAGTGACCTCTGGTGGTCCTCACTGCTCATTATACACTAATTTAATACAATAGCATGTGAAATGACACTCCCACCAGCGCCATGACAGCTTACAAATGCCATGGCAAGGTATGGACATTACCCTATGTGGCCTAAAATGGGAAGAACCCTCTGCTCTAGGAAACCCCCACCCCTTTCCCAGAAAATTCATGAATAACCCACTCCTTGCTTAGCACTAATCAGGAAACAGATCGCCCTCAGGACTGCTCTGCCTACCCAGTGGTTACTCTTTTGTTTCTTTACTTCCTTAATAAACTTGCTTTCACTTTACTCTGTGGAGTAGCCCTGATCCAAGAACTCTCTCTTAGGTCTGGACTAGGACCCCTTTCTGGTAACATCCGGTAGATCAGCATTAAAACCCAATGTCCAGGCCCTCTTGATAGCAGAGTCCCAATCCATCCAGTCTCTGGAAAATGGACACAAGCTGCTGAGGGGAACTGACTGCCGGTGTTAAAAATGTAAAAGGAAAACAAAGGAATGATTAGCTTACTTCTACAAGACCAAATTATTTTCTCTATGACACAGAAGTGTTTTAGTTTGTCTTCACTCTTAACTACACTAAAAACATACACGTGACCAATTTCAGTAACACGCCTTCCAAGCAGAACGTGGCTCAGCTGTTTGAAGGCTTACGGATTTATTGTCATCAAAAGCATGTTCCTCGATCTCTTCCTCCAGACGGTCTGCTGCCTTTCTTACATCTTCAAGGATTTCATCAAGCATGGACAGACTTCTGTTCTGATGCTGCACACTCTTCAGCGCTTCAGCTTGGTGTTTCTCTGCTGCCAGAAGTGCCACATACTCTGCTTCTTCCTAATCATTTGTAAGAAAAGAGGGAGATACATGAAGAAATAAGCCAGGACATGACTTTCTCAATCCCTCAATCAATTCTGCTTTCTTGGTCAAATGTCCCTCTTCATATGTCAATAATCTAACTGGTCAGCTAGGGAAGTCACGTGTCCTAGTTATTCAAACATAACTAAGTTTAGCGAAATGTTTAGGCAAAGTTTTTCGTACATGTACATCAACACGTGAGAAGCATTTGCTACACAAAAGTAGTGTAGTATCTGTAGGTCATCTATTCACACAACTCATTTCCTCAACAGTGACACTGCTCCAGCCCTATCACGTGAGTGCAGCAGTACTTTACAACCAGGGGTGAGACCTGAATGTGGAGCTACTATCTAAACTCGATGCACAGTCAAATTCAAGTTACAAGGGAAAACTGTTCCACAACACATGTAGAAACCAATAGCATTAATCATTTGGGGAACTGATGAGTGATGTCGGAAATAGTAACTTAGTAACCTATTTTACACAATTATATTTTATCAATAATTTGCTTTTAAACAATTATTCTTTTTTTTAATTTTAATTTTTATTTATTTTTTGAGACGGAGTTTCTCTCTTGTTACCCAGGCTGGAGTGCAATGGCTCGATCTCGGCTCACCGCAACCTCCGCCTCCTGGGTTCAGGCAATTCTCCTGCCTCAGCCTCCTGAGTAGCTGGGATTACAGGCACGCGCCACCATGCCCAGCTAATTTTTTGTATTTTTAGTAGAGACGGGGTTTCACCATGTTGACCAGTATGGTCTCAATCTCTTGACCTCGTGATCCACCTGCCTCGGCCTCCCAAAGTGCTGGGATTACAGGATTGAGCCACCGCACCCAGCCCCTAAACAATTATTCTTAGCTAAAGGGATGGAACATAGGACAGCAGAGATGACCAGAGCCAGAAAAACATTGTTGCCTCAATTCTCAAGTAGTCACAAGACATCATCTGATGCCACTGACAAAGAGCTGCAGGTGACACACAGCTGCAGGTCACATCCAGCTGCAGGTCTAGCACACAGCAGCAGGTCTAGCACACAGCAGCAGGTCTAACACACACAGCTGCAGGTCACATCCAGCTGCAGGTCTGACACACGGCTGCAGGTCTAGCACACAGCAACAGGTCTCACACCCACAGCTGCAGGTCTCACACACATGGCTGCAGGTCTCACACACATGGCTGCAGGTCTCACACACAGCTGTGGGTCTCACACACACAGGTCCCACACACAGCTGCAGATCTCACACACACAGCTGCAGGTCTCACACACATAGCTGCAGGTCTCACACACACAGCTGAAGGTCACATCCAGCTGCAGGTCTCACACACACAGCTGTAGGTCTCACACACACAGCTGCAGGTCTCACACAGCTGCAGACTGACACACAGCTGCAGGTCTCACACACACAGCTGCAGGTCTCACACACACAGCTGCAGGTCTCACACAGCTGCAGACTGACACACAGCTGCAGGTCTCACACACACAGCTGCAGGTCTCACACAGCTGCAGACTGACACACAGCTGCAGGTCTCACACACACAGCTGCAGGTCTCACACACACAGCTGCAGGTCTCACACAGCTGCAGACTGACACACAGCTGCAGGTCTCACACAGCTGCAGACTGACACACAGCTGCAGGTCTCGCACACAGCTGCAGGTCTCACACACACAGCTGCAGGTCTCACACACACAGGTGCAGGTCTCACACACACAGCTGCAAGTCTCACACACACAGGTGCAGGTCTCACACACACAGCTGCAGGTCTCACATACACAGGTGCAGGTCTCACACACACAGGTGCAGGTCTTGCACAGCTGCAGATTGACTGACACACAGCTGCAGGTCTCACACACGCAGCTGCAGGTCTCACACACACAGCTGCAGGTCTCACACACACAGCTGCAGGTCTCACACACGCAGCTGCAGGTCTCACACACGCAGCTGCAGGTCTCACACACGCAGCTGCAGGTCTCGCACACACAGCTGCAGGTCTCGCACACACAGCTGCAGGTCTCACACGCAGCTGCAGGTCTCACACACACAGCTGCAGGTCTCACACACACAGGTGCAGGTCTCACATACACAGCTGCAGGTCTTGCACACAGCTGCAGGTCTCGCACAGCTGCAGATTGACTGACACACAGCTGCAGGTCTGACACACAGCTGCAGGTCTCACACACATTGCTGCAGGTCGAGCACGTGACTGGAGGGCTAGTATAGCTGCAGGTCACCAGCACCTGGAGAATCTCAGCATAGGAGATAATAACCAGTGTATGTTAAACTACTGTTGACGTGTTATGAAGTGTGCATATTTGAGCCAATGTTACTCAAACTCATGTTTTTTCTCTATAATAAAAGAGCCACAAATCTAGACCCTACTACCAAGGTACTGTCACGTCTCCACTGTACAGTCACAGTTCACGCACATATCACACAGGCCAGACAAATGAATCAGTGTTACTGAAAAACCTTGATTTATACACTTGTCTGATGGTCCTATTTCTCTACCCCAAGATATGTTTCAGTAAAGAAAGTTTCATGTCTGTATTTTCTCCAGTTTTCACGCTGTGGAATAATCCTACAGGTTTTTCTGTGAAGATGACTTTATATATTTAAAGGGCTTGGTGTAGAACAGGTACTCAAGAAATGAGAGCTTTAAAAAATAACGAATACAAAAGAAGGATCCAAGATGGCCGACCACTAACAGCTCAGGATTGTAGCTCCCAGTGAAAGCTCAGAGAACGAGACTACGCCACATCATTAGACGAATTTTCCTCACTCACCGATTAGCTGATTCCCAGTGGAGGAGCCCCACGGGTCGCCAGCGCGACTCTTTGTGGCCGCTGCAGCGGTTTTGCCGGCGTCTCCGCGCAGCAGCTCTTCATGCAGAGCCAACAGGACTGCTTCCCCTACTAACCGGAGTTTGGAGCTCCAGGAAGTCAGAGCCGCTTGTTGCGGACTCAAGAGGGAAGCCAGACCAGAGATTCCCGGGCAGAAGAGCACCATCAGTCTTATCGCTGCTATTTAGGCTGCCACAGTGGGTTGCTCGGATCCCAGCACTGGGAATCAATAAGTCGGACGTCGACTCAGAAAACTAATTAGAAAGGCGGTTCATTTACAATGAAGGGAAAAAAACAGCCTAAGAAGGCCGAGTATACTCAAAATCAGAACCCATCAGCAACGGAACAAGCCCTGATGGAAAAGGACTCATCAGCAACCGAACAAGCCCTGATGGAAGAGGACTCATCAGTAACGGAACAAGCCCTGATGGAAAAGGACTGTGTTCCATTATCTGAAGTAGGCTTTAAAAGGTGGATGATAAGAAACTTCTGGGAGTTAAAGGAACATGTTCTAACCCAATGTAAAGAAACTAAGAACTTGGAAAAAAGGTTAGATGAAATGTTGAAAAGAATAGACAATATAGAGAGGAATACAAATGAACTTATGGAGTTGAAAAATACAACACGAGAACTCAGTGAAATATGTACAAGCTTAAACAGCCGAATGGATCAAGCAGAAGAAAGGGTATCAGAGGTAGAAGACCAACTTAATGAAACAAAACGACAAGACAAGAATAGAGAAAAAAGGATAAAAAGGAATGAGCAAAGTCTCCAAGCAATATGGGACTATGTGAAAAGACCTAATATACGCTTGATTGGTGTACCTGAATGTGACGGAGAGAATGAAGTCAAGCTGGAAAATACTCTCCAGGACATTATCCAGGAAAATTTTCCTAATTTAGCAAAGCAGGACACTATTCAACCCCAGGCAATACAGAGAACACCACAAAGATATTTCTCAAGAAGACCAACCCCAAGGCACATAATCATTAGATTCACCAAGATCGAAACGAAGGAGAAAATATTAAGGGCAGCCAGAGAGAAAGATCAAGTCACCCATAAAGGTAAGCCTATTAGGCTTACAGCAGATCTCTCAACGGAAACCCTACAAGCTAGAAGAGAGTGGGGGCCAATATTCAATATACTTAATCAACAGAACTTTCAGCCCAGAATTTCATATCCTGCCAATTTAAGCTTTACATTTGAAGGAAAAATAAAATCTTTTAGGAACAAGCAAGTACTCAGAGATTTTTTTACCACCAGGCCTGCTTTACAAGAACTTCTAAAAGCATTATACACAGAAAGGAACAACCAGTATGACCCTTTCTAAAAATACACCAAAAAGTAAAGAGCATTAACATAAAGAAGAATTTTTATCAACGAAAGGACAAAATAGCCAGTTAATAACAAATGGCAGCAACCCTAAATTTAAATCGACCAAATCTCCCAATCAAAAGATACAGACAAAATCTAACGGTATATCCAAAGATATACATAGACTCAAAATAAAGGGTTGGAAAAAAAAAACAAAAATGTACCAACCAAATGGAGAGCAAAAATAAATAAATAAGAAGCAGGAGTTGCAATTTTCACATTTGACAAAATAGATTTCAAAGCTACAAGGATACAAGGGTAAAAGGATTAATGTAATAATAAGAGATCTTAACACCCAGATACATAAGACCCATAATGAGATTTAGATTCAAGGAGACAACAAATTGATAACGATACCCGGGACTGGAACTAAGATCCAGAACAAATAAACTCAATAGAGCTCTCCATGTTAAACACACAAAATATACATTATCCACAAAATCTAACGATATATCTGAAGATATATAAAGACTCAAAACAAGGGGATGGAAAAAAACTCACCAACCAAATGGAGAGCAAAAATAAATAAATAAAAAGCAGGAGTTGCAATTCTCACACTTAATAAAATAGATTTCAAAGCTACAAGGATGCAAGGGTAAAAGGATTAATGTAACAATAAGAGATCTTAACACCCAGATACATAAGACACATAATGAGATTTAGATTCAACGAGACAACAAATTGATAACGATATCCAGGACTTGAACTCAGAGCCAGAACAAATAAACACAATAGAGGTCTCCATTTTAAACACATAAAATATGCATTAACCACTTTAAACACTCAAAATATTGATCGGCCATTATTGAAACCCATTTTAGGAATGAAGTAATATTCCTTTTTCCCTCTTTTTCTTTTTTTCCCCTTCTTTTTCTCTTTTTCCCTAAAAAAAAAAAAAATAACGAATACAACAACTGACACAGTAATTCAGAAACTTCTAATCACTTTAAAAGCATACTTGGTCAAAGTCCTAAACTGAAATGTATACATTAGTTTAAAACTAATTTTAATATTTTTATTTTCGATATTATGCCACTGAAGAAAAGTGAAACTTCACACTAAAAGGAACTCCTGTCAGAAACTCAGCAAAGTGGCAAAATGTTGATTTAAGTTATATTTATTTTTGTATCAGTTTACTAATATAACTTGAATAACTTTTTGAATTACCAGGGGACTTCTCCGTAGAGAAAAGCATGAGTGGCTCCTTCTAGAAGTAAGAACTACACCATTATGGAAAAGGAAAAGATTCTCCCTCGCATTAGAGATTTTTCTAGATGTGACTTCCATGGAAAACAGCTAGGACACATCAGCAGCATTCACGCCTTCCCTTCCTCTCTGGCCCCCAGCTCCGCGGTGGGCTCTCCCTAGGATGTGGGCACGCGCTCTCCACATCTCTCTCTCTCTGACTGACCTTTATTGCTGCCTCTCTCAGGGCCTCCAGGCGCTGCCGGCTGCTCTCCTTCATGTTCACGACATCTTTGTAATCTCCCTGGAGGGCTCTCTGCAGTCCGTAGATGGCTTGGAAAACAGAATTTTCACTTTCATTCAGCTCTTTCTGGAAGATTTCAAATGTGTGCACCTGAAACAGTTTCTCTTCACCCGACAGGCCCACGTCTCTCTCCACTGCTCCAATTGCATTTTTCAGTTTGTTCAGAACCGCATTCTTCTGGCGGAGAAGCCCTGAGAGCTTCCTGCAGCTGTCCCGGACCCACTGCCGGCTCTGAGTGGCGGCTGCCCCCCGCCCACGGTGCAGTTTGATCACACGCTGTGCCACCTCCTCGTGCTCCACAGCCTGAGTCGCCCAGGGAAGGACGGGAAACAGCACCCAGAAGAAGCTTCTTCCCAACACCTTCATGATCCAGGTTCAGAGGGCAGGGCACGGCAATCCACAGGTCTCTGCCTTGCTGACCTTGCATTTCAGATACACATTTTCAGCTGAAAAAGAGTTATGGTCACATATAGTTGAATGATTCATTACTATTCATCAAAGTATTAAATAATCAGATCCAGAAAACTGATACCTTTCTAAAGAAAATATAATCTTTCCTAGATTAACATCAACATCTAAACTATTGCACTGAGATTAAAACCAAATACTGAATGTTGACGTACCTTGTATGGTGCCTTGTGAAGGGTTGAGATGATTAAAGGTCAGTTACATCTTTATGGAAGTTTTTTTTTTTTTTTTTAAAGAAAACAGCCTCATCTCTCTACCAACTCTACCATGTACAAAATACAGAAACCAAGTCTATTTAAGAGGATTCACGTTGGCCAGGTGCAGGGGCTCACACCTGTAATGTCAGCACTTTGGGAGGCTGAGGTGAGCAGATCACGAGGTCAGGATTTCGAGACCAGCCTGGCTAACGTGGTGAAACCTCATTTCTACTAAAAATACAAAAATCAGCTGGGTATGGTGGTGTGCACCTGTAATCCCAGCTACTCAGGAGGCTGAGGCAGAAGAATCCCTTGAACCTGGGAGGTAGAGGTTTGTTGCAGTGAGCCGGGATGATGCCATTGCACTCCAGCCTGGGCAACAAGAGTGAAACTCTGTCTCCAAAAAAAAAGGGAAGAGTCCATGTTATCAAAACCCAGAAAATAGCATCAACTTCCCGTCAGAAGTCAGTGGACTGCCTGGGGACACCACTCATGTCACTCCAGAAACGAAATTTTCTGAGCTACCTACTGTTAGCTTTGTGGGCTTCCTAAAATCATTTGAAATTTTGCCACATGGCCAAAGTCAGTCTACAGTCAAGTGCTAAGAAGACGTCAAGAATTTAAAATATACGTATATATATGTGACAATACCTAGATCTCTAGAACTTTTTGCTATCATCCAAATTCAGTCTCCGTCTCTACTTTTCTTTAGGAAGACCGAAAACAATGTATGTTAATTTATCCTGGCAAGGCAGAGCACAGACAGGAACTTGCTTTCTGAACATGACTGCTGGGGGAATGAGGACAGTTTCAGTATGGCAGTAGCCGTGACAAGACGGGGCAGGGCAGTGCACCCAGACTGAGCACTGTTTAGGGAGCAGGTGGAGACAGCGGCCAGCAAAGGCCACTAAGGCAGAACGAGCTTAGAGGCTGGAAACCGAGACTCTGGAAAGAAGAAGGAATAAACGCCGAGTCCACGAAATTTAGCCACTAAGAGCCCACAGGCAGCTAAGCCAAACAAGGCAGCAAAACCAACACCTACCACTTATGCAGATTTACGGTTGAAAGGAAACAACAAAATATTAACCTAACCATTCTTTATAGCAGCACCCAATGGACTGTTAGGAATTCCTACTCAATCGTCCATATCCCAAAGATTCCCCAGCCTGGAAACCCGGTTACTAAAACATATATCCATATCTCTATACTTCCATTTCACTGCTAACCCAAATTCTAATACTTTAATCTCGTTTCTCAGACAAAACAGATTTGATGCAGCGAAAGTAAGGGTGGCATTTCTGGAGGCAGCATTCTGCCCAAACCATGAAATGGCAGCTGACAGAAACAAACAGGAGAACTCAAAAAGCCTGGAGGCCAGAAGACTCAGTGAGGGCTCAGCAACTGTGCGCACTTCAGCAGGTCCTGAAGACAGTAGTGTTAGACAACAGGAGTCACTCATCAGAATCACAGCAAAAGTCACCAAGAAGAGACGACATTCTGGTTAGAAAGTGCTCAATTACAGAACAATCTTGGAGACTGACTCCTAAAGGGATATAAGCACGTTCCACGGAGTGTTCACTTACCTAGAACAGGTGTAGGATAAATAATATGCTCTTCCAACCAATTTTATGTTAGTTTCAATACACTTTAAGTACGCGTGTACACCCTTAAGTACACATTTACCACCTTAAAAACAATGAGGCAATCATTTAGTCATGCCTAGCAATATAGCTAAGCTGTTATTTTAATGACTCACTCAATTGCTAAGCTTCTCTCTTTCCAAGGGAGCTAAAGAAATCAACAGCTACCTCAGAAGTGCACAATAAGTATTTTCCAGAACCAGGATAGAAATTTAAGATGCTTCCCTTACACCTCCCAGTTCCCCCAAAAGATCCCAAAAAGTGATTCTTTGATGGATTTTATGCTCCAGAAAAGTAATTTTCAACAGAGCTCATGTGTGAATGACACCTCTATGTTCATTTCCGGTTCCTTCCTCAATCAGGTTCCTGAAATTAGGTGTCCCTCAAAGGGAGCTATTAATTTTTATGATTTACGGAGGATTTTAGTTGCAGTTATACTAAAATTTCCCACTGAAACATACTCATAACATGAAAGTGAAATTATTTATGGATCCTTAAAATACAAATCACTTTTTTCAAACTCATTTCACCTTCAAACTTGCCTCCAAAATCCTACGGGCTACCAAATTGTAGCATGTTTTTTGAGTAAATAAGTAAGCATCTTTAGCTGTTCTAATTATTAAAAAGACATTTTGGAGGCCAGGTGCAGTGACTAATGCCTGTAATCACAGCACTTTGAGAGGCTGAGGCAGGTGGATCACGACGTCAGGAGTTTGACACAAACCTGGCCAAGATGGTGAAACCCTGTCTCTATTAAAAATACAAAAGTTGGCCAGGCATGGTGGCAAACGCCTGTAATCCCAGCTAATCAGGAGGCTGAGGGAGGAGAATCATGTGAACCTGGGAGGCACAGGTTGCAGTGAGGAGATTGCACCTGGGTGACACAGTGAGACTCCATTTCCAAAAAAAAAAAAAAAGACTTTGAATACCTGTAATGTAGTGTGTTTTTTTGTTTTTTTTTTTTTTTTAAGACTGAGTTTTGCTTTTGTCACCCAGGCTGGAGGGCAGTGGTGTGACCTTAGCTCACTGCAACCTCCGCCTCCTGGGTTCAAGCCATTCTCCTGCCTCAGCCTTCCGAGTAGCTGAAATTACAGGGGTCCACCGCCACACTCAGCTAATTTTTGTGTTTTTAATAAAGACTGGGTTTCACCATGTTGGTCAGGCACGTCTCTAACTCCTGACTTCAGCTGATCTGCCTGCCTCAGCCTCCCAAAGTGCTGGGATTACTTTCTTAGAATTTCTGTATCTTGAGCTATTGATACATATAACAATGCGGATGTATCTCAAGGCTAAGTGAAAAAAATCCCAATTTCATTGAGAAGACACACAGCTGTAGACTGACACTCACTAGTGTGTATATAGTCGGTGCAATCTCAGCAGGTCAGGGGATCTGATCAATGAAAACTTCCTGCATATACTATGGTTTTGCAAGGTGCTACCATTGGAGAAAACAGGGCAAGGCACTCTAGGATTTCTTTATATTACTCCTTACAAATACATGTGAATCTGTAACATCTCAAAATAAAAAGGCTGGGTGCGGTGGTTCATGCCACTGCTGTATTATGACACAATTATCTATACTCCCAGCGCTTTGGGAGGCTGAGGTGAGAGAACTGCCTGAGGCCAGGGGTTGGAGACCAGCCTGGGCAACACAGCAAGACCCTGTCTCTATCAAAAATGAAAAACTTAGTGGGGCGTAGTAGCCCCTGTGGCCCCAGCTCCTGAGGCAGCTGAGGCGGGAGAATCCCTTGAGCCTTGACCAGCAACTGCACTCCAGCCTGGACGACAGCAAGACTCTGTCTCAACAACAAAAAAGTTTCAGAATATTTAAGTCAAGTTTGTAGGAAAGAAAAATAAATAAATAAATAAATATCGCAATCCAATCATTAGGACACTGCTTTTGAAAAAGCCGGTAAATAAATTTGTAAGACAGAGTAACCAGAAAAACGGGCAGTGACTAGGAAGCACAGCGGCCTCGCTTCCCCAGCGCAGGCGTCCAACCCTGGCTCACGGACGCCACAGGAGGGGCCGCCAGGGATGGGGCTGCATCGCCGCCCCGCCGCCGGCCCGGGCGGTCCCGAGTCCACGCGGGCGGCCAGGGTGGGAACGCAGGTGGATGCCAGGTTAGAATGTGGGCCTCAGCCAATAACGCCTAGGCAAGGCCTGGAGGAGCGGGACCCCAGGCCACACAGACCACCCGACCCCGGGAGACAGCGCCTGCAAGAGAAGGGGAGCCCGGGGGAGGGAAGGAAGGGGAGCCCCGGGGAGGGAAGGAAGGAGAGAAGGAAGGGGAGCCCGGGGAGGGAGGGAAGGAGAGAAGGAAAGGGAGCCCGGGAAGGGAGGAAAGGAAGGGGATCCCCGGGGAGGGAGGGAAGGAAGGGGAGCCCCGGGGAGGGAAGGAAGGAGAGAAGGGGAGCCCGCGGAGGGAGGGAAGGAGAGAAGGAAAGGGAGCCCGGGAAGGGGACCCCCGGGGAGGGAGGGAAGGAAGGGGAGCCCGGGGAGGGAGAGAGGGAAGGGGAGCCCCAGGGAGGGAGAGGAAAGGAAGGAAGGGGACCCCCGGGAAAGAGCCCCGTTAGGACAAGGCCCGGCGCTCACCGGGACGTAGGGGGCCGCGCCCACCAGCCAGGCCAGAGCATCACCATCCGGCGGCCTGGGCAGGGCTCTGAGGCGCCGGGAGCCGAGGGGCGGAGAGGGACGCCGTCTGTCGCCTCGGACCGCAGCGCCCGAGGGCTTCCCTTCATCCTTTGCCAGGCGGGACCGGGGCCAGGAGGCCGGGAAGGAGCGGCCGCCGCCAAGCTGAGAGCCACCCTCACCCAGCGTCGCCGCCCGGGAAGCCCGCCGAGACGCAGTCGCAGCCCTCTTTAAGAGGCGGGGCGGTGCAGGGCATGTCGGGAGATGGAGTTCTGTGCACCGACTCGTCGCCCTCCTCTTCCAAGAGCACCTCCCGGCCGGCGTGGGGCCTGGGAGCCTCAGGCCGGCATCGGTCACCGCAGGCGCGAGCCACGGCCCTCACAGAGGGTGGGACGAGCAGGGGCGACAGCGGGATGGCGGCGCCGAAAAGGCGGAGCGCTGGGGCAGGGGTGGTGCGAGAGCTCCCGTCGGCCCCCGGGCGGCGCTGAGCATGCCGGGAGTGGGAGTCCACGCGGCCGGCTCCCGCCAGTGCCCCGGAGCCCCGGGCCGCGGCCGTCCTAGGACTAGGGCGGAGCGACCGCCGCGCCTGCGCAGAAGGCCGGGGCCGGCGAGAGGCCGGCGGCGCGAGGGAGATGGTAGGTTCCCTGGCGTCGCCTCTGCGGGTCGGAGTCGGGATCGGGCGCCGAGGTCAGCGCTGGCGGCGCGCGGGATAGGTGGGGCCGAGCCCGGCGAGCTGTGTGGGGCGTTTCGGGCGGGGCTGAGGGAGGAGTGCGCCGGGGGCCTGCGAGCCGGAGCGGCGGCGTGGGAGGCGCGGGACCGTGGGGAGCGCGGGTTTGACCCGAGCGGCGAGGGACGACTGAGCGTGAGAGGAGGGCGGGAGCCGGGGGCAGCTGTGGAGCGGCGGGGCGGGGGCCGGGGGGGGCTGTGGGGCGGCGGGGCGGGGGCCGGGGGGGGCTGTGGGGCGGCGGGGCGGGGGCCGGGGGGGGCTGTGGGGCGGCGGGGCGGGGGCCGGGGGCCGGGGCTTCCCAGGGCGGCTGGGAAACGGGAGTCGACGGAAGCGAGGGCTCGGCTGCTCCTGCGGGCGACCGTGCAGGTGCTGAGGCTGTTGACCAAAACCGCGCAGGAAGGAACCCGCGAGAAGCACAGATTCGTGGGGGCGGCCCTGTGGCCGGGAGGGGAAGGCGAGGCGGCGGGGCGCTGGCCGGAGGTTGAGGCTGTGCGTCTGTGGAGCTGATAGTTCTGCGGCCCAGGAGGGAGGCTGCCGGGGTGCGCCTCAGTGGCTTTGAAGTGTGGTGGAAACCATGGTGATGGATGGGACTTAGTACACAGCGCTTCAGAGGCCAGCAAGGTGCTGCTGGCGGTGACGGGTGCTGGGCCAGGCGTGATTCTGGCGCTGAAGGAGTTGATGGCCCAGCAGGGGAGACACGCACCAGATACACAACTGTTTCACCACGGCTGGGTCAAGGGCCAAGGCACGGGTTCCGGGAACCTGTAGGATGCGGGCGGGGAAGTGGTGTCAGATGCCGAGGATGTGAGTTGAAGTCTGGAGAATTCTCTGGAAATTAGCTGGAGGAAAAATGAGGTGCCAGGGGCAGCCAGCTGTGCGTGGCTCCAGGCAGAAGAAACGGTGCGCACAGACGATGCATTGGTGGTAGGCGATGGCGTCGTCTAGAAGCTGAAAGATTGCCCTGGCTAAAGCACAGAGAGCCGGGAAGGGACAGGGTGACGAGTAGAGGGGAGTGGAGGGTGAGGACAGAGTGTCAGGATGGGAGAAGAGCCGCAGAGGAGACTGAGAAGGGCCGGTAGGAGAAACCAGGAGGCTAGAATGTGTCGAAATCAAGAGGATGGGGTTTGGAGGAGAAGGGAGCCATCAGCAGTGCTGTTCGAAGGAGCAGCTGTGAAGGTCCCGCTGACTGCGGCAGCCGGGCTTGTGTGACCCTCAGGGGTCACTGCGGAGGCCGGGCTGCAGCGAGGTGGCTTGAGTTAGGGTGCACACCTGGGCAGGTAGAGGTAGTTCGCTCCGCCTTTTAGAAGGAAAGGGGCAGAATACACAGGAACTTAGCTTGGGGAAAACTTGAACACGCTCAGAATGCGGGAGAGAAGCGTCTATGAGCATCTATCAGCTCCTCCACTGCTGCGGAGCGGGGATGAATTTCACTCCCCCTCCCTCAAGTGTGCTGTATACCAAAACAGCGTCAAAGTGATCCATAAGCTTATACAGTTTATTTGATCAAAATGATTGGCCTGCCAGCCCCTTGTAAGTTGACCCAAGGACATTGTAAGAGTAATTTCTTTGATTTGACCTATGGTATCCTTGATGCCAGATTATATGAGTAGTTTTACACAAAGTCACAGTTAAAATGTTTAAGACTTTTTATAGCTTAGAGATTTTATTTGCTGTTTCCGCTGGATTGTCCGGATTTTTATTTCAAGAATTGTGTACATTTTAACAGAATAAAATAGTGAAACCTAGAAAATACCCCCCTACATACACACTTGAAAAGCTGGCCTTAATTGAATTTGCATGACATGGTAAGCCGCGGTGAAGGTTGTCAGCTCGAAGGGCGGCCCTGGTTCCACGGTGGATCGACCTTGATTTGTTTGGCCTGGTTCAGTCCTATCTGGGTCCACTCAAAGCTTCCTGCCAACATCTGGGCCTTTGTTAGTTTGACCTGAGTTTAGTCCTGTCTCAGGGCACTCGGGGCTTCTTTCTCACCCCTGTAGTTTGTTAGTTGATGAGCCTTTTTGTTTCCTAAGAAGCTTTATGCCAGTTCCCTTCTTCAGAAGAGGCCACTTGGGTCTCTTAGTCACTTTTGGACATGAAGCACATAGTCTTTAGACTTAGCTACTCATCATTGCTTTAATTGCTGTTATTTTATGGAGAAACCTGTAAGGGGTGACGTCAAATGATTGCAGGTTTGTTGACTGGCCAGAGACTTGTTAATGGGCTAAGCCTAGACCTCAGAGCTTCTCTTGCTCATTCTGAACCAGTGCCTTGGCACCACCGTGCAGTTCAGGGTTTGCTGCCATATCTTGTGACATCAGGCAATTTGAGTAGATTGCAGGGGGGATCTCCCTGTTTCTGGATACCCTTCGGTTCCCTCTGTAGCTAACAGTAATGATCCAAAACCACTTTGAATCCACGTGCTCCTGCATCTGTTCTTCTAGAGTTCTAGGAAATTAGGCTGCTGGTGTAACAATGTCACATATTAGAGGAGGCTTCAAGGGGTGATGGGCGGGAGCTCAGGATCAAACACCATCATGTCTTCCAGGTATCCACATTCCAGATCTCTTGATGTGGAGCCATCGTTGTATAATGCTGATTGAATAATTCAGTCACCCAAGAGGATATTACTCTGCTGAATAGTCTGGGAGAGTCCAACGAGTACAATGTGGACATATTTTTTAGGTGAAATTCATGTGACATAAAATTATTTTAAAGAGTACAATTGAATGGTGTTTGATATGTTCACAAATTTGTGGAACCACCACCTCTATCTAGTCTTAAAACATTGTTGTTGCCCCAAAAGAAAGCCCTGCACCCATCAGCAGTCACTCTCAACTCCTCCCTTGTCCCAGCCCCTGGCTACCACTCACCTTTCTCTCTCTGTGGATTTGCCTATTCTGGATATTTCCTCTGAGTGGAATTGTACACTGCGTAGCTTCTTGTGCCTGGCTTTCACTCAGCATCGTGCTTTTGAGCTTCTTCCATGTTGTGGCATGTATCAATACTTCATTCCTTTTTATGCCAAATTCTATTCTGTTACATGGACATACTAAATTTTGTTGTGTAGCATGGCAGAACTTTTAAATCTAGCAATCATGGCCACTTCCATAATGAGGATGTCATGGCTATTCTTAGTGGTGGACCATTTTGGGGGTTGCACTTGTGCCTTTATCCTAAACTTTTTAAGGTAACTCTCGGCTTTGCTCACCCTCCCTTGAGAAGGCTTCAACTTCATAAAAAGACACTAGCTCTATCTTTTGTCACCTTACTGTCACAGAATATGGGATCTGACTTAATTTAGTTAAATTTGATCTTACCAGAGAATACAACCTTGAATTCTTTGTTTAGTTCTTTTCAAAAGCTCAATTTCAGGAAATAATATAGAGAATATGTATTCATTTATTCCTCTAGAATGTAGGTTGGGGTCAGCAAACTACAGCCCACAAGTTAGCTGTTTTTGTAAATTGAGTTTTATTGGAACACTGTGGCTGTCTGCTTTTGCAACGTACCAGCTGGCCCACAAGCCTGAGATGGCTGCTGTCTGGAATATTACGAGAGAAAGCTGGCTCAGTGAAGGTTTCTGATCTTCATCAGTTCTTAACCTGAGTTCTACCTTCTCCTACCTTATCAGGACTTTCCAGATAGACCTAAGCCATCTGTGAAACCCCTGAAATTTTAGGCAAAGCTGCCTGCACATGTGAGGTTCATATATGTTTTCCTGGAGGGCAGAACGATGACCCATCAGATTCCAGAAGGGATCCAAGACTCCCAAATGCTCAACACTCATTGTTCTGAGTAGCCGAAATGTTAATTCCCTGGACTCCCCTGAATTAGCAGTTCTCAAAGTGTTTCCTGTCAGGAGTCCTATATTGTTTTGGGGTTTGTTTTTTGTTTTATTTAGGTTCAGGGGTACATGTGCAGGTTGGTTATAAAGGTTAGTAGCGTGTCATGGGGGTTGGTTTACAGATGATACCGTCAGCCAGGTAAGAAGCACAGTACCCAGTGGGTGGTTTTGTGATCCTCTCCCTCCTGCCACCCTCAAGCAGGCCCCGGTGTCTGTTGTTCCTTCTTTGTGTCCACATGTGCTCAGTGTTTAACTCCCACTTATAAGTGAGAACATGTGGCTTTTCATTTTCTGTTCCTGCATCAGTTCACTTAGGAAAATGGCCTCCAGCTCCATCCATGTTGCTGCAGAGGACATGATCTTGGTCCTTCTTGTGGCTGTGTATTATGCCATGGTGTATATGAACCACATTTCCTGTATATTTTTCAGAATGATTGGAGCCCCAGTCATTCTTAAATGAGAGCCATTGTTTATGTGGGTAATAGTCATCAATATTTACCATATTAGAAATTAAAATAGAAAGTATTGAAATATTTCTGTATTTAATTAGCAATAATAAACCCATTATTTTTTGCAAATATCTTAATTTTGGCTCCATAAACGATAGGCTCTCAAATCTTGTGTTCAGTCCTGTTATATCATAAGCCATACAGCCTGTGGAAGCCTCTGCTGTGCACTTTGTGTGAATGAGAGTGAGCCAGGCTGGTGAACTACCTCAGGAAGGTAGTTCTGTGGTACTCCTGAGAGGCCTGAGGACCCCAGGGTCCCAGGTGCAACCAGGGAGTGTCTATCTGGACAGCATTATCTTAATGTTCCTGCAGAATTGTCCTCTGGTATTTTGGCACCATGCTTTTTGATTGCCTGTCTCAAAAAAGAAAAAAACTCTGGAGGCTGGCTCTGCTGTACGTGGTTGGCATTTTGGTGAGGAATTGGTATACACAAGGGAACGCTGAACTTCATGAGGAGCCACAGGAGATGTTTCCCTCAGGTTTTAGGCCAGAAGGGTCTGTACCACTTCTGAGCTGCTGCTAAGGTTTTAGATCCTATGAAAACGTATTTTCCTAACTCATCATATCTTCTTTGCTGTGGCACTGGGGAAGCTTGGAGCCTGCTTTCCAGCTCTGACATGTGACAGGCATGTCCCTGTACTAACAGCACCCCTGGCCTCCTGGTATGCCTTTTCCCCAGTCTCAAGTTTTCTCATCCATACCTTGTTATCCTTCTGTATATTTCTATAAGTTACGTTAGGATTCCTTCCATGTGTTTTTACAAGTTGTCTCATTTTTATTTGAACAAGACTGAGTATAAATTCCTTATAAAAATTTGAGTAAAAAAATTACCCCCTACTGTGGAAAGCACTTTTGTAAAACATTAGCATTCAGTAGATTCTAGGGTCTGTTTGGATTTAGAGAAGCTAGTAAGTCACTTTCTTTTCCAGTGTTGTTTTTATTAAGTTGCTTTATTTGTTTATTATTACTATTTTTTGAGACAGTCTTCCTCTGTCACCCATGCTGGAATACAGTGGCAAGATCTCAGCTCACTGCAATCTCCGCCTCCCAGATTCAAGCGATTCTCCTGCCTCAATCAGCCTCCCAAGTAGCTGGGACTACAGGTGCACGCCACCATGCCCTGCTAATTTTTGTATTTTTAGTAGAGATGGGGTTTCACCATGTTAGCCAGGCTGGTCTCGAACTCCTTACCTCAAGTGATCTGCCTTGGCCTCCAAGTGCTGGGATTACATCATCAAGTTACTTTAGATAAGTGGAAACTCAGCCCTCCTATATCTGGAAGTGTCAAGATGTTACTTTGTTTCATGATATACTATATATAGTACAGCTACTTGGCAGTTTTGTTATTTATTGCCTGCCCAGAGCCTCTGTCCTATTTTTCATTTTATTTCTGTCTGGTATACAGAGGCATTCTTGTTATTAGTATTATTGTTTCCATTTAATCAGGCTTTTTTGTTCCTGCTTGTGAAACTTTTATAAATTACTTTTAACACTGTCCTTAGTTGTTGGTGTACGTTTTCATCAGTGTGATTCTGCTGATTTTAAACTGGGAGAAACTTAATGTCTCTAAACTGCACAGCCTCTTCCCATTCATTAGAGCCTGAACTTACTTGAAGCCAAAGAAGACCCTGCAGCTAGGGCCCCTGGTGATGCTGTGAAGTCCTTGCCCTGTTTCATCAGAGGGTTCAATGTGCATTACAGAGGGAGGCATACAGAGATTTTTAGAAAAACAATAGTCATACTTCATGCAGAGTGACTGGGTAGAGGTCAGAGTGTGTTTTGTATAAAATGTTAATTTTCGTAATTTTTGAAGGTTAGACTGCCTGTTTGTTACTGTGTAGGTGCTGTTGTTTCAATTTCAGAAGGCTATGCAGTCTTTTTAACTGATGAAGAGCAAAGCTTTATGTTCTGTGATTCTGCCCAGTTAAGTGCAGGCGTTAGGCTAGAGGCTGGGACAAACCCTGAGCAGCCTCACTGGCTTTCCTACTTCTTTTGCATCCCAAAGCATAAGCTTAAATCGTCTCAGAGGGACAAGGTCCGCCAGTTTATGGCATGCACTCAGGCTGGCGAGAGAACTGCTATCTACTGCTTAACGCAGAATGAGTGGAGACTAGACGAGGCCACGGACAGCTTCTTCCAAAACCCAGACTCATTCCACAGGGAGTCCATGCGGAACACTGTGGACAAGAAGAAGCTGGAGCAGCTGTACGGCAGGTACAAAGGTAAGAGGGGTTGGCAGCAAAGCTGGACGGATGCCTGCCTCCATCAGTGGCCTGCGCACTGCATGTCCAGGGCTCTGGTGCAGGGACAGGAGGTCTCTAGGCTGCTCTTGCTTCTCCTCCCAGCGCTCAGCTACAGAATCCAGTTTCTCCCATTTAAATGGGGCTGGGACTGTGATTGGTGGGGGGTGGGGAGGGCGAGAAGAGGGGAATCAGTGATGGATCAGGACCAGGCCCATGCCCCCTTGTTCTGTGTGGTGAGTCCGATGTCGCACAGCCTGTCAGGGAAAAGCCACTGCTGGGAGGCTTGTTGTCAGCATGATTGTGTCTGTTAATATGGTATTGTTTTCAAGCACTTTTATTTAGGCTGAAATATTGATGGTGAGAAGGTTAAGAACAACACCAAATCGCAAAGATGATCCTGGAGCAAGGGGAAACCTCAGTGTTTTCCTTGCCTGGATAGTGGCGTGTCAGCCCTGAAATAGCTTTCATGGTTAGAGAGGCTTTGGGAAAAGCTCTCAGCAAAGAAACCTTGTGTTGCAGATTGTGAACAGTCGTGATTTTTATTGACGTCAGTGCTTAGATGAAAGCTTCTTGTGAAAATGCAGCTGTGCCTTGAACTCCAGACTGCCTTGATGAGCATATGCAGATCCAGGTCCCTCTGTAGGCTTTACATTTCACATCCAGTGCAGAGGGAGAGGCAGCAGGCTCAGAGCTGACTTATTTAGCTCTTTCTAGCAGTTTTTAAGACTAAGTTTTCCAAAACTTGAAAACAAAACCAAACCTTAACCCTCATTTAAACAAGTATTAGCTCAAATATAGAATAATTTTCTTGGCTTTAAGTTCTTGTTTATTATTTTCATTTTTTGCTTTTTTTTTTGAGATAGAGTCTTGCTCTGTTGCTTAGGCTAGAGTGCAGTGGCACCATCTCAGCTCACTGCAACCTCTGCCTCCCGGGTTCAAGTGATTCTTCTGCCTCAGCCTCCTGAGTAGCTGGCACTACAGGTGTGTGCCACCACGCTGGGCTAATTTTTTCTATTTTTATTTAGAGACAGCGTTTCACCATATTGGCCAGGCTGGTCTCAAACTCCTGATGTCGTGATCTGCTTGCCTCGGCCTCCCAAAGTGCTGGGATTATAGGCGTGAGCCACTGTGCCCGGCCAAATGCTATGTGTGTGCTTTAGTCTTTCTGTTTAGATCTGAAAAATGAATTGAAAATTGCCTTAAAAAAATCTTGCCTCAGAAACTTAGTCAGTGGTAAAACAAGCAAATCAGATTTGTACTTATCATAGTTCCCAAAAAATTAAAATTGTTTTTAGTTAAGCTTTAGTCTGTTTTAAGAATTTTTGGCTAAGTCAGTTGTTGAGCTAATTTTGTAAGTCATATGCTATGTACATTTTTTAAGTTGTTTAAATATATACAGCTGCCTTTGAAAAAATACTTGTGTATAAGTGGAAAATTGTATCTTTAGTTGTTATTGAAGCTTCATCACTTCATTATTATTGAACTTTATCATGCAGTTATAGTCAAAGTAGAAACATGGTGTAATCGTTTTAGACTCTGAAAGTAAACAGTTCTAAGACTGTTGACAAATATAACAGTTACTATATTAACATGCAAATGAATAAGTACTTGCAAAATTACTTGAAATATTGAACATTGTTGTAATGAAATTTACTGAGATGGTTTATTAAGTCAGAGCTTTGTAGATCAATATTTCTAATCCTAAAATGTAATGTAAGGAGGTGGAATTGAATAAGGTAATAAGAGGGGATTTTTTTTTGATAGAACCTCTGTGTCATAAACTATGGTTGAGGTTGTTTTCTCCTGATAGAAGAGAATATAGAGTTAGAAGGATGTTTATGGTTTCCTTCACTTATACCACCAGTTTTTCTTTGGTAACTATATATATGTAGTAATATATTACTTAAATGACCAAAGTTAAATTTTGTATGAAGGGGAAGAAAAGTTTATCATACCTAATCTTTATTTGAGCAAAGAAGCTACAGGTTTTCTATTTCACCTTCTAAACCAACAATTCACATATGCATTATGATGTATTATGATATACATAATCTATCTGAAATTACTAGCTTTAGTGAAGTCTTGCTGGGATGCTTTAAATATATTTTACTGTTTGATTTTCTGATAAACAAATGCTAAGTTCTTTAATTTTATTTTTAAACTAGAAATAGGGGGTGGGGAACCTGAATTTCTAAGCTATTAAATGTGGATGCATAAGCTAAATGATTCTGAAAAATAGTTATTGTCCAGCACCATTAGAACTAGCAAATGAAATCATTTAAGAAGAAAAACATCAATCATGCATTTACTTTGGCAGAGTTGTGATAACTCTGAGGTATTACAAATACTTTATCAATCCAGTATTTTTGTAGCAGTTTACCTTTGGGTGAGCTAAATTTCTGTAAACTTGAATTTTTATTTCACTTTAGGGTAACTAAATTTTTCTTAGTGATCAGATCTTCTCAAAAAAAAGTCAATGATTTTTTTTCCTCTAAAATCCAGAAACCTAGATTTTAAAAATAGGACAGTTTTCTGGATACAGTATCTGTTGCTCACTCTTTCTTTCCTGTGCAGCCTGTTGATTGATGTATTGGAAACACGCTTGCTAGAACTAGGTGGTATAATAGAATGATAGGATTCAACCCTCCTATTTTAGAATTACTTTTCAATAAAGTATAACTTTCTTTTCCCCTGGTGTTAACTACAGACCCACAGGATGAAAACAAAATTGGAATAGATGGGATCCAACAGTTCTGTGATGATCTGAGCCTAGATCCTGCCAGTATCAGCGTGCTGGTCATAGCGTGGAAGTTCAGGGCAGCAACTCAGTGTGAATTTAGCAGGAAGGAATTTATGGATGGCATGACAGAACTTGGGTAAGTAAATTATTCTTAGCTTAAATTTTTTCAGAACTGAAAATACTTTCAACATTAATTATATTCCAGCAACTTGTACAAATTAATTTCATATCTGTTCATTTTCTTTGTGTATCTTACAAATTTCTTTTATGTATCTGTACTATTAAGGTGTTGGTTTCCTTTTAATTTTCAGTGTAAAGCTTTATTTCATTTCATATTTTAATTTTTTTATATTCCTTTTGTAACTCATTTTCTTCTTTTTGAGTTTTTTCTTTCCAATTTTGAATTGGCGGTAAATACCAGGTTTAGTTCATTCATGTTATTTCATAATGCTGTATACTAAATATAGAATTCAGTATGTTGCTATGTTAAAAATTAATTAAGATGTCATTTTGGTTTTTGCTCGTAATATTTTTCTATTCTACCTACAGGATTGGGATAAAGACTTCATTAGTAACTTAAAGAGGTTTCTCACTTATCAGATAAGTCACAAAAGTAAATGGAAGGGCCTAAGGTAACTGTCTTTTCATCATTAAGCTTAATGAACTGCAGTCATACACCACATAATGACATTTCGGTCAGTAGTGGACCACTTACGTGACAGTGGTCCTGTACGGTTAAAATGGGGCTGAAAAATTCCTACATCACAGTCTTACCGTGTCATAGCACAATACATTACCTGTGTGTGGTGACGCTGATACGGACAAACCTACTACACTGCCAGTCATATAAGAGCATAGCACACCCTGTTACTGCAGTATATAGTACTTGATAATTCAAATGATTTCGTTACTAGTTTATGTATTTACTATACTACATTTTTTATTGTTATTTTAGAGTGTATTCCTTCTACTTGTTTTTTTTGTTTTTTGTTTTTTTAATTGAGATGGAGTCTCACTCTGTCTCCAGGCTGGCAGGCTGGAATGCAGCGATCTTAGCTCACTGTAATCTCTGTCTCCTGAGTTCAAGTGATTCTCCTGCCTCAGCCTCTGGAGCAGCTAGGATTACTGGTACCTGCCACCATGCCCAGCTAATTTTGGTATTTTTGGTAGAGACGGGTTTCACCAGGCTGGTCTTGAATTCCTGACCTCGGACGATCTACCCGCCTCAGCCTCCCAAAGTGCTGGGATTATAGGCTCGAGCCACCTTGCCCAACCTAATTCAACTTATTATTTTTTTTTTTTTTGCAGGATATGTGGCGGAAGCTACTGCTACTTGGCTGTGTAGTTTTTTGTCTCCGTTGTTTTCTTTTTTTCCCTAAGGTAATTGTCAAACAGCCTCAGGCAGGTCCTTTAGGAGGTATCTAGAAGGGGGCATTGTTATCATAGGAGGTGGCAGTTTCATGCCTGTTATTGCCCCAAGGACCTTCTAGTGCAAGCCTGTCCAACCCGCAGCCAGAACAGCTCTGAATGTAGCCCAACACAAACTTGTAAACTTTCTTAAAACATCATGAGATTTTTGTGTGATTTTTTTTTTTTTTTTTTTTAAAGCTCATCCGCTTTTGTTAGTGTTAGTGTATTCTATGTGTGGACCAAGACAATTCTTCCAGTGTGGCCCAGGGAAGCTAAAAGATTGGACATCCCTGTTCTAGTAGGACAAGATGTGAAGACAGAAGACAGTGATTTTGATGATCCTGACTCTGTGTAGGCCTAGGCTAACGTGTTTGTGTCTTGGTTTTTAACGAAAAAGTTAAAAACATATTTTAAATAGAAAAGAGTATATAGAATAAGAATGTAAAGAAGAAAATGTTTTTGTGCACCTGTACAGTGTGTTTGTATTTTAAGCTAAGTGTCAAGAGTTAAAAAAGTTTTTTAAAATTTTAAAGTTTATAAAGTTACAGTAAGCTAACATTTATTATTGAAGAAAGAAAAATATTTTTAATAAATGTGGTAATAGTCTAGTGTATAGTGTTTGTAAAATCTATTATAGTGTACAGTAGTGTCCTAGACTTTCACATTCACTCACCACTCAGAACAACTTCCAGGCCTGCAAGCTCCATTCATGGGACGTGTTCTATACAGAAGTACAATTATTATCATCTCGACTGTATTTTTACTGTACTTTTCTATGTTCAGATATGTTTATATTCGTGTAAATACACTCTAGGATGTTCCCACAGCAATGAAGCTGCCTAACAACACATTTCTCAGAACAACAAACAAGCGTGCTTCATGAGATGGTGTAAAAGCACCTTATTTGACTTGCTGATATTTCTCATATTCTGATTTCGGTGTGGATAACTTAGAATAGCATATTTTCAGCTGCTGAAGAGAGCTTGAAGCCTTACAGTAAACTTGTTCTTAAAGCATATACTTACAGCAGCTGAGGGAAAAGAGAAAATAGAGAACTTGTTTCCTGTCCTGAACTGATGTATCTGTTCTAGTTATAGCCTTGTCTGTTTAGATGATAAACTATCTCTAATATAGATGCTTCTCATCTTGACAAACCCATCTTAAGTTTAAAAATATCGTAAGTTGGCTGGGCACAGTGACTCATGCCTGTAATCCCAGGACTTTGGGAGGCCGAGGAGGGTGGATCACGAGGTCAGGAGTTCAAGATGAGCTTGGCCAAGATGGTGAAACCCCGTCTCTACTAAAAATACAAAAATTAGCTGGGCACGGTGGTAGGCGCCTGTAATCCCAGCTCCTTGGGAGGCTGAGGCAGGAGAATCGCTTGAACCCTGGGTGGCGGAGGTTGAAGTGAGCCACTGCACTCCAGCCTGGGCAACAGAATGAGACTCCATCTCAAAAAAAAAATCCTAAGTTAAAAATGCATTTAATACCCCATAATCTTATAAAGTCAAAACAAATCTTTTTTTTTATTTTTTGAGATGGGATTTCTCTCCTAGTCACTCAGCCTAGAGTGCAGTGGCGCAGTCTTGGCTCACTGCAGTCTTGACCACCCAGGCCCAAGCAGTTCTCCCACCTTAGTTTCCCAAGTAGCTGGGACCACAGTTGTGTGCTACCACAACCAGCTAAGTTTTTAAAAAATCTTTGTAGAGACAGGGTTTCACTGTGTTGCCCATTATGGTCTTGAACTTCTGGGCTCAAGCCATCTTCCTGTCTCGGCCTCCTAAAGCTCTGGGATTATAGGCATAAGCCACTGCACTTAGCCAGAAAAATCTTAAACATCGTAAGTCAGGCACTATCTGTAATATCTTATAAAATTCTCTGTAGGTGCATAAAACCAAACAAGCAAAAGATATCATGACCGTGGTATAACAGCATAGTTATTCATGTTCTTTGCATTTAGGAAAGTCTTGGTGAATTATCAGTAGTTTTAGAAGGAAAATGCCTGTTAAGCATTCTGTTGGTATTGTATGATACATTATCCCATCTATTAAAAATCTCTCTGAAATGGGAAATTTTGGAAATAAATGCTTCTTAGGGAAATACTGACATTTCTTAGTCACTGTCTAAAAATATGTTATACAAGAAAATTTTTAAATTCCTATTATCCTATTATCTGTTATAACTTACTGTATTTTAAAGATTTTGAGTGTGAGTCTTTCCCAAAATAACCGAGATGATTTGTGCCTCTTATCTCGAGTATGTAGAATGTAGTCTTAGGTTACAAGTTTATGATGGATAAATGCTGCTGTCCACATCTCAAGGGGCTATTAAGAAGGAAGGCATTTTGTCAATATTAAACTATAATGTAGAGATTAAAAATCTCAGGGCTTTTAAGACTTTGCTGTTAGTTTAAATAGTGCTAACCTTTAAAAATACTTTAGCTTTTGTGTCTCTATTTTTATTTTTTTCACACTTTGTCATTACTAAGTCTCTTGACTGAGGTTAGTAGAATACCTGCTTTTAACAGTTAATCCTGTATCATTTCATTAGAAGCCTAGGGATTCTTAAGTAAACTAAGTAAAATTTCTGAGCATTGTGTTTAGAGATGGTGAACCAGGTAAAAAATCTGTGTCAAGGCACTAAGGAGCTAACAAGATAGTGAAAAATTGTGAAACAAAAATCTCAAGAGGTGAGCCCAGCAGCTGGGGCTATTTTTCCCCAGAAAAAAAGTTCCTTCGCAGCCCCTTTTGATAGCCTCTTTTAGGTACAGGGACAACAGCTGAAAACTGGGGTCTGCCAGGTCTCCAAGGCTGGAATACTCAAGTCTGGGGTCTGAAGATCTGTACTTCAAGAGTTAGGGTGAACTGGAAGACCTCGTGGGAACTCCTAGCTCAAGTCATGTAGAGAGACTAGAAAATATGTCCTTAAATTGGATTAATGTAATTCCACATTGCTAGCGCTCACAGGTACCAGGCAGAGGCAAATAAAAATGGTATTTGGAAAAATATCTTATCCTACATTATTTCTATGAACAGTTTTTTTCTAATACAATGCTCAGGACAAAGCCAGAATACACAGTCCTGTGAGGAAGCAGGATTACATGAAAGGAGCCAACAGAAGAACGGGCCGTGGAAATGGGCTCCGGGGGCTCCGGGAAGAGAAGGTTTCAGTAGACTTCAAAGCAGCCTTGTCACTCGTTCAGCAGATACGTCACTGAAAAACTGCCAAAGAACTAGACATATAAAAATCACATAGCAGGACTAAAAACAAAAGTGTCAAAATGTCTTGAAACAGATGAACAAAGGAGGAGGATTCTGCTACCTGATTTCAAGTCTCTGAGGCCGTAACAGTCAGGACAGTGAGTAGAATGGAGAATCCAGAAGAGACTCACACCTGTGTGGTCAGTGTTTTCTTGTTGCAAAGATGTCAAGACATTGCAGATGAGGAAAAGGGAGTCTTTTCAGCCAGTAGTGTTGAACCAACTGGACAGACGTGGAAAAATTAACCTCAGTCTGTACTTCGTATACATAAAAACCAAGGTAGATTGGAGAGCTGGACAAGAAATTTAAAACCTACGTTTTTAGAAAAAAACATAGAGGAAGATCTTTTTCACCTTGGGTTGAGAAGATACTAAAAGATCATAAAGGGAAAACTGATAGATTTCATCAAAGTTAAAAATTTTTGCTTGTCAAAGATACCATTTAAATGGAAAAGGCACAACAGTAGGAGAAAATACTTGCTATTAAATGTGTAATTATTAGGATATATGATTTCTATATAATTTCTAAATAACAAAGGGGGGAATCGCGGTGGTTTGCCCCTTTAATCCCAGCACTTTGGGAGGCGAAGGCGGGCAGATCACGAGGTCAAGAGATCAAGACCACCCTGGCCAACATGGTAAAACTCTGACTCTACTAAAAATACAAAAATTAGCTGGGCATGGTGGCGCACGACTGTAGTCCCAGTTACTTGGGAGGCTGAGGCAGGAGACTGGCTTGAACCCAGGAGGCGGAGGTTGCAGTGAGTCAAGATGGCACCACTGCACTCCAGCCTGGCCACAGAGTAAGACTCTGTCTCAAAAAAAAAAAAAAAAATTAAAATTAAATCCAAAGAAATGCAAGGAAAATGGGCTTAGGCAGGACAAATAGCAAGCACATAATAAAATGGAGTATTTAAGCCCAGCGTGTTAGTAATTGCATAATTAAATGTAAGTGAATTAAATGCCAAATGGATTTGTATTTTTATTATTTATTTTTGAGACGGAGTTTCGCTCTTGTCACACAGGGTGGAGTGCAGTGGCACGATTGATCTCGCCTCACCACAGCCTCCATCTCCCAGGTTCAAGTGATTCTCCTGCCTCAGCCTCCCAAGTAGCTGGGATTACAGGCACCCACCACCACACTGTCTAATTTTGGTTTTGTTTTTTGAGATGAAGTTTTACTCTTATCGCCCAGGCTGGAGTGCAATGGCATAATCTTGGCTCACTGCAGCCTCTGCCTCCTGGGTTCAAGAAATTCTCCTGCCTCAGCCTCCCGAGTAACTAGGATTACAGGTGCCCACCACCACATGTGGCTGTTTTTTGTATTTTTAGTAGAGATAGGGTTTCATCATGTTGGCCAGGCCAGTCTCAAACTCTTGACCCCAGATGATCCACCCACCTCAGCCTCCCAAAATGCTGGGATTACAGGCGGGAGCTACCATGCCTGACTCAGATGGATTTTTAAATATCAACTGTCCATACTGTTTAAAATGGATACAACTAAAACAGTTTTGAGGCATACAACAGGTCTGCAGATAAGGAGGCATACAGCAACTCCACCGATAATTTCATAATCATAAAGGGTTTATCTCACCAGGGATGCAGTTGCACTTACGTTTTTATGTATTTATTGAATAGTCCCAAAGTACTGAAAGCAAAAATAAGCAACTGCGAAGAAAGATGCAAATCCACGACCAAAGTGAAAAATGTTCACACACACCTTAGTAACTGATACAAGGAGTAGGTGGAAAATTAATGAGCAAATAGAAGATCTGGACAGCACAACAGATGGCCCAGGAGAGCATTTAGACCGTTGCCTTCGATGTTGCGGAATACGCATTCCTGGCAGGAGAGATCCCATGATCTTGCAGGTGGTTTTCCCGGGGCTAGGCTTATCCACTGTACTCCAGATGTGCTGACACCTGTGATTTTCCCAAATGTGGAAAACGACTGCATAATTTGTGATAGTGGGGGACTGTATTCATGTTCTGTCCTGGTGTTTAAAAAGAAAACTTTATAAAAGACACAGAACATTAATAAAAATTGATGATAAACTGGGCTATTAAATGAATTGCAACAATTCACAGAGGTTTGTTTTCTGATGACAGTACAGTTAAACGAGGAATATGACAACTATAACTAGGTAGGATATGTGTGGATGTTGCAATCCTGTACAGCCCTTGGGATGAGAAAGAAGTTACAATGGAAATTAGAAAATATCTTGAGTGATGAAAATACTATATATGTATGGAATTCAGCTTATTAAATGTATATTTTAGAAAGAAGGAAAGGCTGAAAACCAGTGAGCAAAGCCTTCCATCTCAAGAAATAGAAAAAGAATATAGAAGGAAGGAATTAATGTTTTTAAAGAAGCACAAATTTGGCAAGAATAATAATTAAATAGAAAAGAAGTTGTCATTAGGGAGGATCAGTAAAGCAGAAGCTGGTTGTTTGAAAAGACTTGGCTGGGTGCTGTGGCTCATGCCTATAATCCCAGCACTTTGGGAGGCCGAGGTGGGTGGATCACGGGGTCAACAGATTGAGACCATCCTGGTCAACATGGTGAAACCCCGTCTCTACTAAAAATACAAAAATTAGCTGGGCATGGTGGTGCACGCCTGTAATCCCAGCTACTCAGGAGGCTGAGGCAGGAGAATTGCCTGAACCCAGGAGGCGGAGGTTGCGGTGAGCCGAGATCACGCCATTGCACTCCAGCCTGGGTAACTAGCGAAACTCCATCTCAAAAAAAAAAAAAGAAAATACTTGTAAGTGTGGTAAATCACAAGTAACATACATAGATGAAAAGGGGACAAGATGATAGGTAGGTGCCAGAAGCATTAAAAAAAAAAAAAGTCTGTTATGAAGAGCTTTATGCCAGTACATTTGACAGCCCATGTGAAATAAGGTCTTTTAAATATATAACTTACTAAAACTGACACGTGAAGAAATAGAAAATATTAATAGTTCTGTAACTCTTAAGAATTTGAGCCTGTAATATAAAATTTCCTCACAAAGAGACAACTGCTGTTTGGGATGGCTTAATTGGCATATCCTACCAAACTCCTAATGAAAGGAAAATCGCCAATTTTAAACATCATCTTCCAGAAAATAGTAAAGGAAGAAAGATTCTGCACTTTGTTTTAAGGCCAGCACAAACTGCATGATAAAACCAAGAAAGAATGTTTGAGAATGGAAAACGATAGGCCACTCTCAGTTATAAGAATCAGAAGATACGGCCGGGTGTGGTGGCTCATGCCTGTAATCCAAGCACTTTGGAGGCCCAGGTGGGCAGATCACCCGAGGTCAGGAGTTCAAGACCAGCCTGACCAACATGGTGAAACCCCATCTTAAAAAAAAAAAAAGATACATAAAATGATCATAAGATGCAAAAATCGGAAGCACAGTATCAGAAAACTGACTAGTCAGTAGCAAAAAACCCAGGATGATAAGCCCAGGATGTTCCAAAGTCAATCGGTGTAATTAATTTACCATGTTAACAACAGGAAAAAAAGGATCGTAAGATGAGTTTGATCAAATTCAGCACTTCTTCATTTAAAAAACAAAACAGGAAACTAAGAATAAAAGGGGCAGTTCTTAATCTGACCAAAAAGAAAAAAATTCCTATGGTAAACATACTGGAATTGTAAGCCACTTTCCCTTTGAGACAGGGAAAAAACCTGAATGACCATTTCTTTTCAGTATTAAACAGGAAATCATAGCTAGTCAAATCTGTGGATAAAATATTAGGATCAATAGTGACGTTAGCCAAACCACAGGATCCAAGTTCTGCAAATAAAGACCTTTTATATTTCAGGATGCCAAGTGCAATAGTCAGCAAAACGGTAAATTTTAAAATATATGTCATTTTTACTATCTTCAAAAATACAAAATGCCTAGAATAAATTGGATTAAAGATGTGTGATACTCCCATAGAGAAAAAAATAACTCATCGAGAGACAGGAAAGAAGACCTGAATAAATGGAGAAATAGACTTCATTGATAGGTTGGAACACAGTATTTTATCCATGGGTTATTTTTTTTAGATGGAGCCTCGCTCTGTTGCCAGGTTGGCATGGAGTGCAGTGGAGCAATCTCGGCTCACTGCAACCTCTGCCTCCCAGGTTCAAGTGATTCTCCTGCCTTGGCCTTCTGAATAGTTGGGACTACAGGCATGCACTACCATGCCCAGCCAATTTTTGTGTTTTTAGTAGAGACAGGGTTTCATCATGTTGGCCAGGATGGTCTTGATCTCTCATCCTCATGATTTGCCCACTTTGGTCTCCCAAAGTGCTGGGATTACAGGCGTGAGCCACCACTCCTGGACTTTCCTTAGGTTTTTATACCAAATGTGATCTCAATTTAAAAATCTGAAAGATAGTGGATTTATGTATGTGTAATTTGACAAGCTGATTTAAAATTTATATGAAAATGCGCAGTCAAAAAGCAATTCTTGAAGAAAAAGAACAAGATGGGAAGATTTGCTCTACCAGATAATTAGAACTTTTAAAGTTACAATAATTAAGACTACATGGCATCAAGTGTCAGATCAGAGAAACAGACCAGTGACCAGTGTAGCAGAATGGAGGGCTCAGAAAGAAGTCCATGAATGGTAGGGACATCTGGTTTATGATAGAGCTAGCCTTAAGTGGAGAAAGACTTTTTTTCAATAAATGATACTGGGAGAATTAGTATTTTGGGGAAAAAAATCCTGATTTCTACCACATACCATATGTAAAAATCAGTTTCAGATAGACTGTAGATCTCAGTATGAAAGGCAAAAGCAAAAAGTCTGTAGAAAATAACATAGGAGAATAATCTTTATGACTGTCTAATAGGATAATTTTTAAAACATCAACAAAAATAAATCACTGTAAAAAATGCTGACACAGTGTATTATACTAAAAATAAGAACTTCTGGTTAAGAAACATCATAAGGGTCATAGAAAGGCAATCCATGTTCTGTGTGAGAGTTCTTGAGAAATACCTGACAAAGCCTTGTATCTTTAATATATAAAGAATTCCTATAAAACAATAAGAAAAAAACATTGAAAAACAAGCAAAATATTTGACAAGTACCTGACAAAAGAGGATGCACAAGGCCCGGTGAAAGTATAAGGTGCTTAATCTCATTCTCTGGGGAGATGCAGAAGAAAACCATGGAAATCGAACCCTGTTAACAAGCCACCCTCTAGAATGCTGAGCTAAGACACAGTAGCACATGTTAGTGAAAATGCGTGCAGCGGGAGCGCTAGTGTACTGTGTGACATCCGTTACTAAATGGAAGTTGCACAGACTCTGTGACCCAGCCGTCCACTCTGGAATGTGTGCCCGATGTGGTGCATTCACAGGTATGCTGAGATATGGGTACAGAAATGTTGACACCGTTACTCCAAACCAGGAAACTAGAATGTTCACCAACAGTAGCATTTATGAATCATAAAATAGGGATGTAACAAGCATTCTATATGGCAAAGGAAATGAGCAGCTGGAGCTGCGAATACCCACAGGAATGAACCTCTCAGACATCCCAAAGGCAGAAACAGCCAGATGTGAGATGGTGCACACTGTGAGTTCCTGTTTACAGCCAACCAGAGGCATGGTGGAGGACTGCTCCATTAGGTGGCGGGGCAGGGGGGTGGGGGGCGCACAGAGGGCCTGAACCAGAAGTGTGATTGTCTTTGCCTCCCTGGAGGGAAGAGGAGGCTGAAATGGCAAAGAGCCCTCGGCTGCCACCCCCAGTTTTTTTTAAGAGGGTCATACTCTGTTGTGCCAACTGGGGTACTGTGGGTTGGTTGCTGGGACTTTAGGCATATGCTACCATGCTTGGTTTTTATTTTTTGTGGAGATTGGGCCTCTCTCTATTGCCCAGACTGGTCTCAAATTCCTGGCCTCAAGCGATCTTCCCTCCTCCACCTCTGAAAGCACTGGGATTACAGGAATGAGCCACTGCACCTGGCCCCAGCCACCACCCTTGACGTGGGTGGTGACTGCTCACGTTCACATGCATTGCAGTCACGTGTCACTTAGAGACGGGGACACGTTCTGAGAAGTGCATCATTAGGAAGTTTCATTGTGCACACATTACAGAGTGAACCTACACAAACTGAGGTGGTACAGCACACCACACACCTGCGGTACAGCCTGTGCTCCTAGGCTGTGAACTGTCCTCCATACTGTAGGCAGCTGTGACACCATGGTAAGTCTTTGTGTATCTCAGCACACCTAAAGGTAGAAATGGTAATGCATTGGGCTAGACATTGCAGTGGCTCTGACACACTAATGTGGCAGGAATCTCTAGGTCCCATTATAATTTTATGGGACTGCTGTCACATACGCGCTGCTGACCAGAGCATCACTGCAGCGCAGGACTGGCAGAGCCGTACATTTGTGCTTCTCTGTGGATGTCTTTATAGACTTTTCTAGCTGCTCTAAAGCTTTCTCCCAATGTTCCTTCCTTACCTCTATAAGTGAATAAGTGTTGCTTTTAGTCTCCTCTTTGCTGTGCAGTTAAAATTAAAAAGAGACTGTTTTACTATTGTTTTCTGCCTTTAAGGCTGTTGACTGTTTTTAGAAGTTGACTTTTTGATGGAAAATCCAATTTTAAAACAATATAGAGCTGTGTTTTACAATACCTGGATATTTTAAATCTAACCTGCTGTAATGAAGAGATACCTAAATAAGGTAGCTTAAGATTTATATGAGTTTATTTTTCGCTCGTATGACCGGACAGAGATAGCAGTGACCCAGGCTGGCTGGGTGACTCCATTCTGCAAGTCACTGAGAAATGGTATCTTTCCATCTTTCTATGACCTCGTCCCCTGCCTTCTTGTCATGGCAGGGCAGGGGCCTCTCTCCATGGTCACAGCTATGGTGTTAGACCACGCGCTTGTCCCAGTTCTCAAGAAGAGGGCGAAAGATGTTGATTTGGGGTTTTCCTTTTAACAATTTTACTGAGATTAATTCGCATACCGTATTTTCTCTCATTTAAAGTCTGCAACTCAGTGGTTTTAGTATATTCCCAGAGTGAGCGGCCGCCACCAGTATCTGTCTTAGAGCATTTTGAATTCCTTTTAGCAAGGGAGACATTGCCACCCTTAACCTTCTCTTACCTCGTCATATAGAACAGAGCCCTCAGGCCACTCCTGGGAAGGAAAGGTGGGGAATACGGTCTCCGGCTGGAGCCGCATGCCTGGCCACAGTTCCTGCACACTGGAGAAGGGGAGAGTCGACTGGGGAGGCATGTCCGCCGCAAGACACAAACCACTGTCTGTCATCGCAGGTGTGACAGCATGGAGAAGCTAAAGGCTCTTCTGCCAAGACTGGAGCAGGAGCTGAAAGACACAGCCAAATTTAAAGATTTTTATCAGTTTACCTTTACTTTCGCTAAGAACCCGGGGCAGAAGGGCTTAGGTGAGTATGAAATCCAAATACGTAAAACGCTAGATCACAGTGAGATTATCAGTGGACTTGAGCACGTGATTTCTGTATAGCCTGCTGTAATGATTTTGGGTTTGGGTTTGATTTTTTTGAGATAGGGTCTCACTCTGTCACCTAGGCTGGAGTGCAGTGGGACAGTCACAGCAGCCTCAATCTCCTGGGCTCAAGCAGCCCTCCCATCTCAGCCTTCCAAATAGCTGGGACTACAGGCATCCACCACCACATGTGGCTGCTTTCATTTTTGTTTTTTAATTTTCAGTAAAGACAAGGTCTTGCTGTTGCCTCTGCTGGTCTTGAACTCCTCAGGCATGACAGGCATGAGCCACCACGCCTGGCTCAGTTATAACATTACCACCCCTTCTGGTTTCTTTTCCTCTCCACGCTTTGCCCTGCACGTAGGTAGAGGAGTTTATAATACCATGTGCCTGAAAATCTCAGTTGATAGTGTCTCTCAACGTCTGGGTTTACACACGTAAGTTTTAAATGTAAACATTTAAAATTATAAATGTCCTCTGTCAGCTCATACTGTTCTCTCTATGGCACATAGACCCAGCCCACATACCAACAATTCAGCCTACTTTTGCGTTTTATTTTAAAATACTGTAGTCCATTTTATGGACCATTCACGTGGCCCATTGGTGTGGACCATAATAAATATTTTTTTTACTTGAGGAGTCTGCATTCACCTTAGCTGTTGCTTCCTAACCCTACAGCAAGGATTCAGGGACTGCAGTGAAGGTGGACGTGGAGCTGGGTTGGGCACTCGGAGGTGTGCAGTGATCACCTGAGAGGGCAGTCACACAGAGGAACAGACATGGCCAGAAGGACAGGGAACACAGATGCAGGGGAACAGAGGGACAGGGACATAGGGGACAGAGGGACAGAGACATGGGGGACTGTGGGACAGGACAGAGGCACAGGAGAGAGACACAAGGCTGGTGAGAGATACCAGGTGCTGGCAGGCATCTCGGCCCCACGCTGTAGTTACTAAATTACAGAACCTGCTGTGTGAGGCGCGTGGGGCCTGTTGGGCTCTTGCTTTGCCTCTTGGGCAACAGTTGCGGTACCTGCTGTGTCTTGGCTCAGGAGGCTGCTGTGTTCTGCACCTAGGGACACCAGCAGCTGCTGCCCAGGGCCGAGACCCCAACCTTGCTCAGGGCTGCAAAGTGATGAGAGCCTGTCCTGTCCTTTCTGTTAGTGAGCTGGGATGATCACAGAAGGAAGTCGCTCCGTCTCCTGGTGTTGGGTGCCAGAGGTGCCGGCCATTAGAAAGGCAGGGTGACCTCAGGAGGCGAGTGCATTCCCTGCCTCCTTCCATGTCCCTGTGAGCCGATGGAGTGCTGTTGGTGTGCTCTGTGGTGGTGACCGCTTTCTTCCTGTCTGCATGACAGGCTGTCCTGGGCTCGTCCAGTCATTCTGCCCCAAACCTGAACTCGCTTTTCTCCCAAGAATCCCTGATTTCCTTTAGTGGAAACTGGCTTCAGGCCATGAGGAGTCACTGCTGGTGCTCATTCACAGAGTCGTCTTCTAGGCTTCTTCAGTAAGCAGAGGCTCACGTGGGGGCTTTTATTTTTTAAATGTTTGTTCATGTGGTTGCTTCTAATCCACACTCAGGACTACAGATTCTTTTTCCTACTTGAGCTTGTCTGGATTACAGCTGTGTATCCCTTCTGCTCTGGTTCTCAAGGGTGCAGGTGATGATAGTGTTAGAACATCCACTGTGACATGTTAGCTCAGAGTGATGAAACAAATGCTGTCTCCACCAGTATAATTACTCTGCATAGTGAACAAGGAAAGCAGGGCGGTCATACATTCTCCCCCCCATTTAAAAAAATAGTTTGGCCTTGCCTCTGTTTTCCAGGCACACAGCCAGGCCTCCCCTGTCGCTTTGTTCAGTCCTGGCTCTGTGTTCCCCAGCAGCCCCTGCTCATCTCCAGGGCTTCTGTGTGAATGTTTTAAGTGTGTCACTCCACTTTCTTCTGGCATGGATTGTTATTGTCAAACAGACTGATGATAAGCCAGTCTTCTTGGCCTTATAAGGGTTACTTACTGTTTTGCCTGGATTCCCAAACAAAGGCCATTTTTTTCTTTTGTTTTAGAGCCCAGTAATTTTGCTAAAATTTGTCTGGGTGTTGTGGGTCATCCATGGTTAGTGTTCTCATATATGATGCTGAGTGTTTTCAGTAAGTACTTTCTAATCTCTTTATAATTTCAGGGAAAATGTTCTTGAATTATAGCGCTAAGCATTCGCTCTGTTCCTTGTATTTGGTTTTAGTCTCCACGGGAACTATTATTACCCACATAATTGGAGTTGAGTCCCCTGTGGAATTGGGTCCTCTGGGGAGTTAGGTCTTCAGCAATACGGGTCACTTTCTTTTGGTCCTTTTTATCTGTACTTCTTTTTTTTTATTGTAAAGATGATCTTCCTTTTTCACCGTCTCCTCCTCTGAAGTCATTTCAGTCATGTGTCACATAATGGCAGCGGTGGGATCTGAGAAATGCAGCATTAGGCGGTTTCATCCCTGTGTGACATCACAGGGTGCACGTTTGCAGACCTGGGTGTCGTAGCCTATTGTATGCCTAGTGGGATGGCACAGCCCATGGCTTCTGGGATGCAGAGCTGGATAGCATGTGACTGCACTGAGTGTGGCAGGCAGCCGTGACACCATGGTGAGGCTTTGCATGTCAATGCACCGAAGCATAGAAGAGGTGCAGCGGGAATGCACTTTGCAGTGCTGTGGGACCGCTGTCACATATGCAGCCTGTCGCTGGCTGAGACATCAATGCAGAGCGTGGCTGTCTTCATCTCCCGCATGTGCCTTCAGTTCAGTAATTTCCAGAATGTTTTTCCTTTGTTTCTAATTCTTGAGTGTCATTTCCTCATCTCTGGGTTTTCCTAATTCTCATTTGTGGTCTTTCATGTTTTGTTTCATTTCTTAATGTCCTTTAGCCTATTTTGAAGTCAATGGTCACGCTTAAAAAAATTTTTTTAAATTTATTTTGAGACAAGGTCTTGCTCTCTTGCCCAGGCTGGGGTGGAGTGGTGCAGTCATAGCTCACTGCAGACTTGAACTCTTGAGCTTAAGCAGTCCTCCCACCTCAGCCTCCCAAAGTGCTGGGATGACAGACATGGGCCAGCACACCTGGCTTAACATTTTGTTTTAGAGCGAGATTCTCGTTCTGTCGCCCAGGCTGAAGTGCAAAGGTGTGATCATGACTATAGCCTCAGGCTCCTCGGTTTCAGCAATCCTCCCGCCTCAGGCTCCCAAGTAACTGGGACTATTGGCACGTGCACAGTACCTGGTTAATTTTTTAAGTTTTTTTTGGAGAGATGGAATTCTTACTGTGTTGCCCAGGCTGGTATCAAACTGCTTGTCTAACACAGTCCTCCCACAGTGCCGGGATTACAGGCACGAGCCATCGTGCCTGGCTGAAGATCGCGCTTACAGTCTGTTCTGTTGGTGTGTTTCCCAGCACATGTTCGTTTTCTAGGCGTGAAATTCTGTTTGTAGTATCTTTTTTGTTTCGTTTTGTTTTTTGAGATGGAGTCTTGCTCTGTCGCCCAGGCTGCAGTGCAGTGGCTGGATCTCGGCTCATTGCAATCTCTGCCTCCTGAGTTCAAGCAATTATCTTTCCTCAGTCTCCTGAGTAGCTGGGACTACAGGTATGTGCCACCACGCCTGGCTAATTTTTTGGGTTTTTAGTAGAAACGGGGTTTCACCATGCTGGCCGGGCTGGTCAAACTCCTAACCTTGTGATCCACCCACCTCGGCCTCCCGAGTGCTGGAATTACAGGTGTGAGCCACCATGTAGTATCTTTTTTCTTAAAATAGCATTATATGGGATTTGATCTCAGGGCTCATATTTATGTGAAATTAGTTTTCCTACTCTTCACAAGGAAAATGGTTCGGGGCAGCTTTTCGACTTCATGGTGCTCCCTCTTGGGTGGGGGGGTGTGTGTGTGTGTGTGCGTGCATGCACAGGCATATAGTATACGGAAGTGTTGGCTTTGCTGTCTAAGACTGTCTGGCACTGCTCCTCTCCTCTCCTCTCCTCAGCTCTTATCCCTTTTCTGTCTCCATTGTTCCTTTCTGACCGGCCTATTCTGCTCCCAGAGAAATTTTATTCCTGAGTATCATAGTCCTTCCCTTTCACTCATTTATGACTGGTTAAGTTAGGAGAACAGTTTCGGGTATATTTTTCAATGTTTATTCTAAAGACACTAAAGATTTATTATTTTACCTCTGAATGGTGAAATGACTTATCAGCTTGTTAAGAGAAGGGAAAAGTCTGCACTGAAAAGTATTTCTGTGTCTACTCTGTTTATAACTCTGTTTGTAAAATAACTCTTGATTTATGAGCTACATACCAGATGTCAGATTCAGTCTACTTTTAACAAATGAAAACATTTGGTTTTCTATGATAAAACTCTTATTTTTCATCTTCTCTATTCCACTCTATTTCTTTCTAAGAGACTGAGGCAAAAATTAAAGTTAAAGCTCATTTTAGTTGAGACCCTGATTACTCAGTAACTGTCATCAGTACTCTCAAGAAACCATTACCAGTCTTTTCTAGAAACTTACAAGGAGGCTGGATGTGGTGGCTCACACTTGTAATCCTAGCACTTTGGGAAGCTGAAGTCGGCAGATCACTTGAGGTCAGAAGTTCGAGACTAGCCTGGGCAACATGGCAAAACTCGATCTGTACTAAAAATACAAAAACTTAGCTGGGTGTGGTGGTACACACCTGTAGTCTCAGCTACTCAAGAGGCTGAGGCACAAGAATTGCTTGAACCTGGGAAGCAGAGGTTGCAGTGAGCTGAGGTCACATCACTGTACTCCAGCCTGGGCAACAGAGCAAGACCCCATCTAAAAATAAAATACAAAAATTAGCCAAGTGTGGTGGTATACACCTGTAGTCCCTGCTACACAGGAGGCAGAGGCAAGAGGATTGCTTGAGCCTCGGAGGTAGAGGCTGCAGTGAGCTGAGATTGAACCACTGCACTCCAGCCTGGGCAACAGGGAAAAAAAAAGGGCAAACAGACAAGAGAATAATGGTGTGGAGGAAGATGTGGATTGAGCTTCCTCAGCGTTCTTGGGCTCTGTTGCTTGTGAGGACAGGGCTGTGGGCTCCTGATAGGTGCTGGTTTCTGCTGTGCGTGTTCTTCCATCTCATGCAGGTTGTCTTTTTTTTTTTTAGTTCTCTCTGTTTCCTGATCCTCTACCCCCGTTTCCTCTGGCAGTAGTCATCCAAACAAGAAATACTGCTGCTCACACTTTTCTAAAATTTGGCCAATTCAGGTCTCAGTGTAACGATCATGATTTTTCAAGGAAAGTCTGGTCATGCTGTACTTCTGAGCAGTTTAATTCTCAGAGGCCTCTCCAGCTTCCTTTTCAAAGTGAGAATTCGTCTGATCCAAATTTTAAAATAATAGCAATTATTTTTTATTGTTAAATGGTTATCAGGAAGGATACTTTGAAATTTCAGCGAATAATAAAACTTTTTTCCTGACTATTTTGAACTGTTATTTTAATGTCTTCAGTATAATCTTAGGATAATTGAGCTTCTATTAGAGATCATCATTTATATTCATTGATACTCTGCAGTCCAGGGGATCCTTCATTTAAATGTTGAAAGGGAAAAATGTTAGAAAGCTTAGCATTTTATCTGACTGTCATGTGTAGGTATTATCTTTAAGAATTTTTATCTTACAATGCCATGTTATCTTGACACACACGGAAAAGTATTACGGAGCTTTTCTAGGACTTTGGCAAAGCCGGGCAGCCTCAGCATCACGGCAGAGCTTGCTGGAAATGCAGGCCCTCGGACTTTAGACAGACCCTGTGTCTGGGTTAGTAACGACTGCACAGCAAGCTACCTCAAAACACAGTAGCTTCGGAAGACAGTCGTTTTGACAGCTCATGATCCTTTGGGTCAGGAATTTGGGCAGATTCTGCTGGGCAACCCTTCTCCCCATCATGGCCTCCCACCTGCCCTAGCTGTCCTTCATGGGCTTCCTCACAGCCTGGGTGGCTCCGGCAGAAGCACTGCTCGTGCAGAGGCTGCCGCGCTCCCCACAGCAAAGGCCGGCCGCCCCGTGGGAGGCCATGATGGGGAGAAGGGCTGCCCACCGGAATCAGGTGGGCAGAATTCAGGAATTTGGGCACTATCACTTCATTCCGTGGTCATTTCCAGGAGGTTATAAATTAGAGTCTAAATTAATTGCCCAGTTCAAAGTAGCAAAATTTATTTTCTTCATGCATGTATTTTCAACAAAGATTAGTATATGGATAGAGAGTGTTTTGAAACATTGTTGGGATTCGGGACCTATCGTTCAGCCTGTATTTTATAAATCCCCTAAGTATCAGGGCTTTCCGGGCAGAACAGGCCATTGAAGCACTGAAGGTTGCAACAGATTTATAGTTCATCCTTGATTTCCTCACTGAGAATGAGGACCTGTTTACTCTCATAGCCACCTAAATGCAATGTTTATCAGAATCATTCACTATAGGCTGGGAAACATTCATGGTTTTGTTTCTTTGCTTCATGAGAGTAGTTGAGAATATGAAATTTTATTAAAGAAAACAGTAGCCTCCTTGGGAAAATGATTAGATTGTATGAACACTTCAAATAGATTACACACTATTTTTAGAAAAGTTTTTTGAGGACTTTTAAAAACAGAAAGCAAGAATAATTTTATGACTATAAACCAAAAATAGAGCAGTCAGTTTTCCAGAGTATAGCTTGTTATTACACAATCTGTCTTGTGAAGAATTAAGTAAAATTGAAGAGGTTGAGACAAGTGTTTAACTGTTCCTAGAAAAAGCATGGACTGCGGTGGAAACATGGAGTCAAAAGACACAGATTTACCCTTTATTTCCTTCACTGTGTGTATCTATCTGTGTGTGTGTGTATGTCTGTCTCTGTGTGTGTGGCAGTATCTCTGTGTCTCTGTGTGTGTGTGTGTGTGTGTGTGTGTCCTGTGTCTGTGTCTCTATATTTGTGTGTGTGTCTCCATGTGGGTGTCTGTGTGTGTGTGAAGATTGTGTGTACTGTATTTATTGTTTTTATGTAAGATTATGCTTTACTCATTATGTAACTAATGATTAACCTAATGCAGAGAATAAAGTTACTTGGCTCTGTTTTAATGTAAGAAACAATATAGTTTCATGTTGGCTAGAGTCTGGAATTAGTTGGCTTTGGGAATCGTGTGTGTGTGTGTGTGTGTGTGTGTGTGTGTGTCTGTGTGTGTGTGTGTAGTTTTTTTGTTGTTGTTTTTGTTTTTGAGAGGTGGGGGTCGTGCAATGTTGCCCAGGCTAATCCCAAACTCTTGACCTCAGGTGATCCTCCTGCCTCGGCCTCCTAAAGTGCTGTGATTACAGGTGTGAGCCACTGTGCCCGGCCAGCTTTGAGAATCTTGATGTTTGAGGAAGTAAGATTTCGTGAGAGCTAGCTAATTTTTATGTCTGCCCTAAGGTCTTTTTTTGACAGACGACACCTCTTCATTGTCTAATCCTGAGTGGAGTATCACAAGCATGACTTTTAAATAGTAATGCTGTCTTCTAACATGTTTTCACGTAGGAGATGAGACTTTTAAAGGTTCTTGGAAAGAAAATAGAGGCTATAAAGATGTAGCCACCAGAGTAGCCATTGGTCTTAATTTCCACTCTCAAGTTCTGCCTTTCTGAGTTGTGGTTTTTGTTGTTGTTGTTAACTGTTTTGCAAATGGCTAAGTCCATGAGGACAATATTAAACATTTTTATATAAATAATAATAAATACTGAAAAATCATATATGTACTTTTGATAATGTGATTGACAAACATACAAATCAGGTCCTTTGTAAGAAAAGTTTTTAGGACCAAAACTAACCCAAAGTAACTAGATTAAATATATGCCATAAAACTTTATCTTTTTTTCCTCCCCAGGTTCACCTCCATTTCTCAATGTGAGAGCTTTACATCATTAAGATGAGTTGAATCTAGATTTCAATTAATGTCCTTCCTAAGTGATAAGGATGTAGACTTATAAGCAGGACAAGACTAATCATCTTAGCCTTTTACCGCGGGTCCCATCGGTAAGGTCTAGAGAGCTGCTCCATGTCTCAGTTACTGGAACTTTCTGACTCTCTTTCTTTTTGGTTAAGACTCCAGGGTATTCAGAACTGAGAAAGGTGGCAATGAAGCCTTTGCACAGGGAATATGGAGGCATTTTATTTAAAGTTGGTTGCTACTCAGATACCTCTTGCTTATCCCATTTTAATATTGATCAACCTTGGTCATCTTGCTAGAACTCCAACTTTAATAATTTCTGTTTAAATGGGATTAAGCCAGATTTAGAAAAAAATCCTTTGAAAAGTGTTTAGTTATGTATTTTGCATTTAAACTAATATATTACCTAACATATTTATTAATCTGCTTTTCACATTAGCTTATTTTACATAAATATAACTGTTTATGCCTAAAAGTGGTGAACACTATTCAACATGAATAAAGGAGGTTACTTTATGTACTTGCTGTGTCAAGCATATATAAAGAAATCGTTATCGAGCTTCCGGTGAGCAGAGAATGAATCAGTATTTCACAAACAGTGGATTGGAGACAGCCCTGAAACTCACCATTCATACTCTATTAGACATCTTCAGTAGTAGAGATTTGTATAGAAGTCATGAAATAATCACTGCCTTCCCGTGGGGGAAAGTGAGGGCATCGGCTTTGAATGACATGCCATGTAGATATGTAGATTTGTAGATGTCCTTGTATTAGTGAGAATGCTTTCCCTGCTGGTGCCCATGGTCTTGACTCTGCAGGGTCTATAATTACTTGTGAAACAGAGTCTGTCTCAGCTCCAGTAGTGACAAGGCGGGTCTGTTTGAGAACAGTGTGTCCCTTCCTTTCTAAACTGGCCCTTTGGTGTTCAACACTCAGGCCAGTGGCCTATTTTTAAAAACAAATGATATGCATGAATAGTATCCATATCAGGTCAAGTTTAAAGAACACCGATATGTGTGGAAATTCAAGTCTCCATAATTGATTAATTAGGGGGAAATTATGTGCATATGCAAGTAACTTAGTATACAAATCCTTTTTAAAGAAGCTTTCCCAGATTTACAAAATTAGACTACATATGGTGCTCAGGAGCACTTCCGTAGAGATTAAGACTCATGACTCTTGGGTGAGATTGCCACATTTTATTGATTAAGTAAATATTGATGTGCTAAGAAGTGGTTGTTTTTTGTGCAGTAGAAAAAGACAGTGAGATTGACTACCGCTCTTTCTCTCTTTTTGCCAGACTTAGAAATGGCTGTTGCGTATTGGAAATTAGTGTTATCTGGAAGGTTTAAGTTTTTAGATCTCTGGAACACATTCTTACTGGTGAGTGTCCTCCTGCATCTCGCTCTGTGCCCACTGTGGAGGGAGGCGGTAGGTGTGAGGCTGCATGTCATTATCCCACGTGCATGGAGGTGCTGTTCAGCAGACGAGCGTCCCACACAGAGATCCGCAGGTCCTTTTGGCTCTGGAGGCTCTGCCATCCCAGCAGCCCCATGTTGTCTCCTCCGAGGACACGGACGGTAATTCTCTCTTCACCAAGAACTGAATCCTCCACAGGGTGCCAGAACCACACTTCTGTAGGTTGCTTTGGTGCCCAGCAACTGCCTGTGTCCATGGTCTGAGGCCATTTCTAAGTGTGTCTTACCATGCTCAGGAAGAAAGGAGGCCTTCGTGGGCCTCCAGAGAGACACTTTGCTGGCCTGGGGCAAGGCTGCGTCTTGCCAACCCGTCTTGCTGGCAGCAGGTGCAGCTTTGGGTTGTTGGAAGTGAGTGGCCGAGGCCCTGTGATGGCAGAGATGCCCAGACCTCTTGCTGTTCTGTCCACGAAAGTGAAAGAAGTGGCCCTCCACCACCCAACCATGGCTGGGCCACGACCCACACTGCCTAGATTCAGCTGACACTGGGTGACATGGACTTTGCCACTTATGAGTCCTGTGGCCTTGGGCAGGTCACTTCTACATGCCTCTGTTTCCTCATCTGAGATTGGCAGCCAGAGAGCATGGCAGGTGGAGGGTGGAGCTCTATGTGGAAGGTGATGTCACTCAGTCTGCAGGTTTGCCACAGGGAGGCATCTTTGCAGCTGTATGTGTCATTACATCATGTGCTGCATTGCCTCTCTCAAAATATCCAGATGTCTGTAATGCTGTTCCTGCAGTCCCCTTATAACTTAACCTGAGGTCAAACCTAAATCATAGATGTCTCCCAGAGAACCTCACGCTCTTGTGTGCAGAGATGGGGATGAAGGTGCTCACAGGGTCATTGTAACAGCAGGACACTGGAAAAGCCAGTGACCATCCATAAGAGAATAGACTTAAAAATCAGAACATCAGTGCAATGGAGCATAGCTTCAGAGCCATGCAAACGAACACAGATTCACACACTCAGTCTGGATATGTTTCAAACATAATGCTGAATGGGAAAAAAACAAGTTGTAGAAAACTACATTTAATTTGGTAGCATTAATGTTTTAAAATGTAAGACAAGCTTATGAGCTGTTCATGAATATATATATTTAGATGTAGCTAATGGACAGGTAACAAGATTAAAATTAACAGAAACAGGAGTTTATAATATAAAAAAAAATTTTTTTTAAATAAGTCTGCTTTCTATATTTGGACCTCGGCATTGTTGTAGCACTTAACATTTATACAGAATGCTATTACTTTTAACTTCTAAAAATTTTATTATTGTACTTATTCCTGATCAAATTAATGAAGATCATTAACTGAACATCACTCATTAATTGAAGACACTAGGCCACTAGAATGTAAGAGAGTTGCGCTCTATGTGTTAAATCCGGTCGGTTTTTTGTTTTTTTCTCTTATGTATTAGGAACATCACAAAAGATCAATTCCAAGGGACACCTGGAATCTCCTGCTGGACTTTGGGAACATGATTGCAGATGATATGTCTAACTACGATGAAGAAGGTACTGGAAATTGTGCTTCAGATGATTGACTGAAATGCTTACACCTGAGAATGTTAACTTTTCCCGCCTCCAGAGTGGTGACCCCATCACTGAGATGGGGGTGGTGATGATACTGTCCCCTTCCTTATTATTTTCTGTAAATCATACAAAAGAATAGGGCTTTATATGTAGTTTAAATCAGGAAGTCCTCTAACCCAAAGCATTTCAAAATTGAATTGACCCCCACGGTAGAGCCATGGAGTTAGGTATTTGGAAACTACCACTCCCAAATTCTCAGTCCCACACGATGCCTTAGGTCAGTTCCGCGTTGCGCTACGTAGGTTTACTTGGAGATCCCAACTCCCGTCCACCTGCATAAATATATCTCTACATACTTGTCTTCCTCTGTGTTTAGGACACTGCATCAGAGGGCCTTTGGAGCCTGCTGTGTGCTGGGCACACTGCCATGTTAGGGAAGGGATGGTCTCTTCCCTAGTGGAAGGCCTCCCCTCTAGACCCCACCCACTTTGCTTCCTCACTGCCCCCTCGGCAGGCAGTGATCTGTTTTCAGTACTGGCACAGTGCCTTGTGACAGGTGGTTTACGTGTCTTCCTGTTTTAGCTTATATTTCTCTTTGTGTCCTCTACAATTAACACCATCCCTAGATCAGAGGCACCCAGTAAATGCTTGTCAAACAAAAGAAGGGATGATTGAATATCGACAGAAGCATAGGTTCCAAGAGCCTTCCAGGCATCAGTGCAGGAGCTCAGAGGGCTGCCGGTAGGGAGAGGCAGGCAGGGTCCTACTAGGGAAGATGGGCAGGAGGCAGCAACCCCCTGCTGCCAAGAATGCCGATGACTGGAGGAACGTGCCTCCTGCTCTCCTGCTCCATGTGGGTCCATTTAGCTCCCTTCCTGAGCCACTAATGTGACTTTTTGGAGCACTCACCGAGGACACGGGGCCACTGTGAGCTGACGGGCCCCTGCACATATCAACACGCACACATCAGGGCTCCTGACCTGGCCTTGCTAGGGTGAAAGAACTGGGTAACTTGGGCTGGTTTATTCTGTGAAACATGAATGGTATGGGTCTCAAATCATTTCAGTTCTTTTTTTTTTTTTTTGAGACAGAGCTTCGCTCTTGTTACCCAGGCTGGAGTGCAATGGTGCAATCTCGGTTCACCGCAACCTCCGCCTCCTGGGTTCAGGCAATTCTCCTGCCTCAGCCTCCTGAGTAGCTGGGACTACAGGCACATACCACCATGCCCAGCTAATTTTTTGTATTTTTAGTAGAGACGGGGTTTCACCATGTTGACCAGGATGGTCTCGATCTCTTGACCTCGTGATCCACCCACCTTGGCCTCCCAAAGTGCTGGGATTACAGGCTTGAGCCACCGTGCCCAGCCCTCATTTGGGTTCTTTACATGTAAATGTTGGATTGATCCGTGGCACAATGCTTTGAAGATAAAAGCTGTCACTCTAACGGGTTTTCTGTTTGTTTGCTTTCCTTTAGGAGCTTGGCCCGTTCTTATAGATGATTTTGTAGAATATGCACGGCCAGTGGTCACAGGTGGGAAGCGCAGCCCTTTCTAAGCAGCAAGTTAAGCCGGAGTAAGATTATGAAATGATTTGCATCCTGCCAGGAGATTTTGGTCAGTCCTGGGTGCTGATTGCAGAAGTCATTCTTGACCAGCCGTGAAACCAGAGGAGTCACCCCATTCTGCCGGAGGACAGCAACGGCTGCCTTATGGACATCACAGGAAGTTCCTCAGGACACAGCTACTTTGGATGTTTGAGATTTGTCATCATAGCTGCTGCATTAGGAGATTTCTGCATGATTGTTTAATAGTCACAAAACAATAAGGTAGAGCCGTAGCTCCTGTGAGAGCACAGAGCATGCTGCAGAGCTCGCCCGCTGAGTGACGCTGCCGCCACACTGGAGACATGCGTGTGTCCTATGCAGGGTGCTGTGTTTTTACACATCAGCTGTTAAGAATGTGCCCTAAGGAAAATGATCTTGTCATAGAGTCTAATGTGTTTTTAAAATTGGTGCCAGGAATTCAAGATTTATATTTTTTGAATTACCGAATATCTAGATTTATCAGCTCTATTTTTGTTTTCATTTTCTCTAGACATTTATCTGAAAATCATTTCATGGTTCTCAGTCCCCATGTAGCTTTGCCCAGTGACAGCACAGGTGGCATGATTCCAGCAGAGTTTGTTTCACAGTTTATATGTCAGTGGGCCTCTTACTTCATTCAGTAATGTTACTTAAACTGCCTGAGAAGTTTCATAAAGTACGTTTTTTTTTAATATTCTTCAATTACATTTAAAAAGACATTTTTCCAGGAAAAACATTTCTGAGCGATGAATGACAAATTTTCAAATGGAATGAGTTGGTTCTTTCTACCCTCCTGTGGTGTGCATAGCACCCAGCATCCAGACCTTTCCACCCTCCTGTGGTGTGCATAGCACCCAGCATCCAGACCTTTCCACCCTCCTGTGGTGTGCATAGCACCCAGCATCCAGACCTTTCCACCCTCCTGTGGTGTGCATAGCACCCAGCATCCAGACCTTTCCACCCTCCTGTGGTGTGCATAGCACCCAGCATCCAGACCTTTCCACCCTCCTGTGGTGTGCATAGCACCCAGCATCCAGACCTTTCCACCCTCCTGTGGTGTGCATAGCACCCAGCATCCAGACCTTTCCACCCTCCTGTGGTGTGCATAGCACCCAGCATCCAGACCTTTCCACCCTCCTGTGGTGTGCATAGCACCCAGCATCCAGACCTTTGTGTAGCTGTGCACATTTGGAAGCTAAAATGTACGTCGTTGTCTGAAAAAACCCAGTCCCTAAACCTTCAACTGATTGGTGAGCTGAAGTCTGTCTTTCGTGTCCGCCTGGTGAAGGAGGACCTGTGAGTGCCACCCAGGCGTGGAGGGCTGGTGTTGAGTTGTGGATATCACTGTGTTGACCCTACCTCACATGTGCCGAGACCTTGGTGCCTTGCTGCCCCGCTGCAGCACCGTGCAGGATGCGGACCAGCTGGAGCTGCTCCCCAGGACAGAGGAGGGTCGCCTGCTGCAGACGACCTAGCTGCAGTGTGAGAGCACAGCCCAGATGTGCAGCTGGGTCGGCTTCAGGAACATCTGATGACCGAGGTCCGTGTGCCTCGTGGCTGCAGGAGAAACTATCAATACTTCTCAGCAGAGATCATCACAGAGGGCAGCAGGGACAGGACTGGAAGGGACCTGCAGCCGGGAGATCTGCCTGGCCCCAGCTGGCCCCTGGCTAGTCAAGTGATGGACAAGTCACAGGCCTTCCCGAGGCTGTGCTTCCAAATCTCTAACAGGAAACTGGGCCATGTCTGCCTTTAGAAGGCTTTGATTCTCAGAGAGCATTTGTTTAATATGAAACACTGGCTTTCATGAAAACCTCAAAAATATTAAAGCACCTTGTAGGCTTCCTGGATTCTTGACATGTAATTGTTCTAAGAGTTTATAGAATTCAGATAATTCTGTATAAATGATGGAGATCTGCAGTGCTTTTTTGTTTTTGAGATTTAAAGTTCTGAGGGATTGTCAATAGATACCAAAATATTGATCACTGGACAAAAGCTTTTCAAACAGTTGTGGGTTTTTTTCTTCTGTTGTATACATTTGAGTCCTGCATGTTGTGAAATGCTGAGAACAGAAGCATTAAATTGGTTTCTTTTGGGTGTGGTGTCCTTTCAGTTCTCCTTGGCTGTAGGGATGCCTGCCTACAGGTGTCAGCATCTGGGTCCTTGTCCCGGGATGACAGGCCAGCCCGGCCTACCAAGCAGCAGGCAGGAACAGCCCCAGCCTAGCAACCAGCAGGCAAGAACAGCCTGGTCTAGCAACCAGCAGGCAGGAACAGCCTGGCCTAGCAACCAGCAGGCAGGAACAGCCCCGGCCTAGCAACCGGCAGGCAGGAACAGTCCTGGCCTAGCAACCAGCAGGCAGGAACGGCCCCAGCCTAGCAACCAGCAGGCAGGAACGGTCCCGGCCTAGCAACCAGCAGGCAGGAACAGTCCTGGCCTAGGCAAGAATGGCCCCGGCCTAGCAACCAGCAGGCAAGAACGGCCCCGGCCTAGCAACCAGCAGGCAAGAACGGCCCCGGCCTAGCAACCAGCAGGTAGGAACGGCCCTGGCTAGCAACCAGCAGGTAGGAACAGCCTGGCCTAGCAACCAGCAGGCAAGAACGGCTCCTGCCTAGCAACCAGCAGGCAAGAACAGCCCAGCCTAGCAACCAGCGGGCAAGTACAGCCCAGCCTAGCAACCAGCGGGCAGGAACAGCCCGGCCTAGCAACCGGCGGGCAGGAACAGCCCGGCCTAGCAACCGGCGGGCAGGAACAGCCCGGCCTAGCAACCGGCGGGCAGGAACAGCCCCAGCTAGCACCTGGCGGGCAGGAACAGCCCGGCCTAGCAACCGGCGGGCAGGAACAGCCCGGCCTAGCAACCGGCGGGCAGGAACAGCCCGGCCTAGCAACCGGCGGGCAGGAACAGCCCGGCCTAGCAACCGGCGGGCAGGAACAGCCCGGCCTAGCAACCGGCGGGCAGGAACAGCCCGGCCTAGCAACCGGCGGGCAGGAACAGCCCCAGCTAGCAACCGGCGGGCAGGAACAGCCCGGCCTAGCAACCGGCGGGCAGGAACAGCCCGGCCTAGCAACCGGCGGGCAGGAACAGCCCGGCCTAGCAACCGGCGGGCAGGAACAGCCTCGGCTAGCAACCGGCGGGCAGGAACAGCCCCGGCTAGCAACCAGCAGGCAATCCCTTGCCCCAGCGTGTGGCCCGCCAGCCCTGGCTGGGTAACCGGGTCCTCAGCCAACTCTGTCATGGCGTTCCCTCTCAGTGGTGCACTGTGTGCCTGATATGGCTCTGGTGAGGAATTAAGAGATCCCTCGACAGGTAGGATTTACGGGGGTGCAGGGGGGACATGTGCCAGCACACACTGCTGCAAACCGTCCCTTATCAGAGGCAAATGTGGGGTCAAGCACGGGGGTCTGAGCACCTTCGCCGTGCACCTGCCAGGCATTCCCTAGTAGACATCGTCAGCTCCTTCTCTTCGTGACGTCGTACATGTCACTGTGTTATTTCAGCTTAATAAAAGTTTATATCCATTTTAGACCTCAGGCTTCATGGGGCCAAGGGTAAACTTTCTTCTGACATTTGTTGCTATGTCCACAGTTCCTAGTACAAAATAGGGCCCTGCAAATATTTACTGAATAAACTAATTAGTGAACCTTGTCCCATCCTGTTTGCTGAAGGAGCCAGATAGTGCTCTCAGCAAAGGTTTCTGCCACCTGAGAATCAACTGAAGTGTGGAGCAGGGCTCTGTTATTTCCCAAAACAACACACCTCGGCCCCGCAGTGCAGTTCTGCCTAAAATTGTGGGCGTTTGAACACAGGGCCACCCCTCATATCTGTCTTGCTTGGAGAGGGAACTTTCGTGCATGCTGATGGTTTTGGTTTTTGGTTTTTTGGAGTTTTTTTGAGATGGAGTCTTGGTCTGTCACCAAGCTGGAGTGCAGTGGGGCAATCTCAGCTCACTTCAACCTCCGCCTCCTAGTTTCAAGCGATTCTCCTGCCCCAGCTTCTCGAGTATCTGGGACTACAGGCAAGTGCCACCGTGCCAGCTAATTTTTGTATTTTTAGTAGAGACGGGGTATCACCATGTTGGCCAGGATGTTCTGTTCTTGATCTCTTGACCTCATGATCCGCCCGCCTCGGCCTCCCAAAGTGCTGGGATTACAGGCATGAGCCACCACACTGGCTTTTTTTTTTTTGAGATAGTGTTTTGCTCTTGTTGCCCAGACTGGAGTGCAATGGCACGATCTTGTCTCACTGCAACCTCTGCCTCCTGAGTTCAAGCAGTTCGGTGTCAGTCTCCCAAGTAGCTGGGATTACAGGTGCATGCCACCACCCCTGGCTAGTTTTTGTATTTTTAGTAAAGACGGTTTTATCATATTGGCAGCCTGGTCTCAAACTCCTGACCTCAGGTGATCCAGCTGCCTTGGCCTCCCATAGTGCTGGGAGTACAGGCGTGAGCCACCACACCCAGCCTGCATGCTGGTTTTAAAGGACCGTTTGTTTCCCAGGATTGTGTTAGCTGGCATGATTTTGCTGATGGCTGGCTCTACCAGCAGACAGTCGAGAGTGAGGTTAGCTTACTGCTTCAGAACCTCCATTTTAACAAGTGCTGGTATAACGCCAGTTACTTAAATGCTTCCTACGCCTATCTTGCTGTATACTACAAGAGTTTTATTTTTATCAGATGCATTTCTTCAGTCCAGGTGTAACTCCCTTTTGCTTCCCCTGGGTCTGATGGAAACCAGGCCCCAAGGAGGGAGATGAGAGAGACAGCCCTGCTGGGCACCCAGCCTCTACAGAGACCTGTCCAGGGGTGGGGATTGGGAAATGGACTGTTCTCCTAATTTATTTCAAACCAGGAGTCCTGGCTGTATGCATTCTGCCTTACCCCTGCCTCTTCATATTTTTGAATATTATTTTCATGAGCTGGCAGGGATGTTGTAAATAGTTGAGCTGACCGAGGACCGGATTGGAGGTTCCAGCGAAGCCTGCACTCTGCTGACTTTCCCTTCACAATACGGTTCAGTTATTTGAGAGCCGTTAAACACTGCATGCTGAGGAAGCACCATCATTTTTCACACAGGAGCTAGATAAACTTTGTTCCCGTTACACTGCATTTTTAAAAAAGTTTTCTAAAAACACATAATCGAAAAGTTTTCTAAAAGATAAAACTGCATGTCACAGATTAATCTCAACACTGAGTGAAGGAAGCCAGACACTGAAGGCCACACATTGTATTTGAAATGTCCAGGGAAGGCAAAACTACAGAGACAGCAGATGGGTTGTTGCCTAAGAGGTGAGAGCAGGCCCTCACCACACACGGGGAAGTGCCACTCCCTTTCCAGTGACAGCAAGAGGAGCCCTGCTCTGTCAACACTCTGAAGGTGCTCTGACTGCTGGCAGAAACCGGCAGGCTCCTTTGCTGAGGAGCTGGTGCTTGTCCAGACACAGAAGGAAGCTGACACCTCCCACGTGGGGGACAGAAAGGTCCTCTCATTGGTGCCACCTGCAGAGACAGACAACGCCTGGCCATCAGAGGACGCTCAGACAGCGACACAATGACCACTATAAAAGTCAGGCGGGCCACAGAAGGCAGCAAAAGGCCAGGAGACTCTGCAGCTGTAGGGTAAGAGGAGCTGGCTCCTGAGATGGAGAAATTCAAGGCTGCGATGTTGCTGGGGAGCGTCGGTGATGCACTTGGCTACAGAAATGTCTGCAAGGAGAACAGCGCTGCAGGCATGAAGATTCAGGAGGATCTACACCGTTCCGGGGGCCTGGACCACCTTGTACTCTCGCCCGGAGAATGGCCTGTGAGTGACAACACCATCATGCACATGGCGACCGCCCAGGCCCTCACCACAGGTAGGACTAGGCCCCGCCACGCACTGCTGTGCAGGTGGAGGGCGGAGGGAACGCTGTGGCTGCTCACGTTCCCAGTAACCCCCCAGGAGTTTTGAAGGCAGCGTGGTCCTTCAGCCGATAGTGTTACCCGATGCCACTGCTAAAAGTGGCGATTTAATAGACAACAGTGTCCCTCAGATTTGGTATGTGGCAGATCGTGTTTCTCCTGTGCTTTCTCTGGGGTGACAGCATTACTTTGCAGGTTACTAAGATTCGGTTTTTAACTGTGACTTTTCACTTGTGTTGTAAAGCGTTGACTAAGCGTTGCTAATAGAGTTAAAGCCAATTAAGCCTCTCTCCGCCGCAGCGGTGGGAGGAGGCTGAGGGCTCACTTCTGCAGAGATCAAGCCTTTTTGTTCTGAATTCATTACAAAGGGATGTAAAATAAGCCAGTTTGAAATGTGGACCCGTTAATACTGTTTGGGGAGATTAGTTCTAAATTCCAGTGAATTAAGGTTAGAATATCATCTCCCAGAATGGTTCAGCTTGGAGAGTTGCCTACACACAAATGTGTTCTAAGAAAATGACGTAGACGAGATTGGAGACAAAGCTTCTTAAAATATCTTTAAGTAGCAAATTGATCTTAGGATCAAGCTTTTGCATGAGTTTCAGGGAAACGGCAGGTATGCAGACACAGCCCAGCTTTCCTACCAGCTGTTCAAAACCCCGTGGGTGCTGTTTATCATGACAGAATTCAAATCTGAGGGCTACGGCTAGTCAATGAAACTTCACTTATGCGTCCACTCCACCATTCCGTTCGTCTGCTGTGGACGCGCCCAGTTTAGTTCTGCGCTCATGGCAGAGGAATGTCATCGAGCCTGTGGCCCGTCCCTAAATAACGGCAGAGCTGAAGTGCCGGTGATAAGATAAAGCTCCCAGGCTTGCTGGAGATCAGGAGGCGTCGAAGAGCTCCTGCTTCTGCTTTTCCAGCCAGCCTCTTGTGTGCCCTTAGGACCAGCGGCCCCACGCTGTGTCCCCGTAGCCCAGAGCAGACACACCCCACACAGAGATGCCTGTGGGAGAGCATGCGCTCAGAACAAGGCTCTGGCTTGTTTTCACCTGGGACAGTGGTGCTCACTCTTGAGCGTGGCTTCCTCTGGGCATATGTCTGATGCCGTGTGTGCACTCACACCAGCTCCTTGTGTCCCATCTCCGGTGGCACTTGGTGGGCATTTTGTGAATGGCAGCGTCTGTGGCTGTGGGTCTG